AAAGAGTACAGGGTAGGCAGGAACGGAAACGTCCAATCAGCAGTCTTGCTTAGGTTGCAAACTTTATATTGAAATATTTCTGACAAGAAGTCATGGAAGTTAATTTTGTATCTGTTAATTAAATGTAACCAAGGCCTGGCATGCAAAAAATGCGGTGACAATATTGAAAAAAATATGTTTGGAGGAGGGGTGGAGCGTGCCCCCTCCTCAAGGTCACTTTGCCCCCCTCAAGGCCACTTTGACCCCCACCTCAAGGCCACTTTTCCCCCACCTCAAGGTCACTTTCCCCCATCTCAAGGTCACTTTGCCCCACTTCAAGGCCACTTTGCCCCAACCTCAAGGTCACTTTTCCCCATCTCAAGGTCACTTTGCCAGCCCCACCTCAAGGTCGCTTTGCCCCCCAAGGTCATTTTAGGGGCAAAGTTAATGCTGTTTGCCTCCGTCACTTTACTTTTTTCCAATGCAGGCAAAATATCCAGTATATTTGGTCATTGCAAGGAGCAGCAAGTGGGTCTTGTAAATTTCAAGAGTTAACCCTCCTTTGGTTTTACAGCACAAATGTGCACAAGTGCCCAAGGTCACTCTCTTGCATGTTGGTGCAGTGCACAACACGACACAGCTGTGCTTCTTTGAGGTGTTTACCAAGTGACCCAAAGAGTGACTTCAGCATAGGAGGGTTAATCTTAGTGTGCAAGCCCAGTCCATAGGTATGTTAAGCAATCAGGATTCAGCAAATGAAACTGTGTTCAAATTTCTGACTTCATTTTCAGGCCATGGCTAGCTTGCCAGTCGACAACACTGATCAGAAGACTGGCAACATTGAGGCCAACAAGCAGAAGAATCGTCTCCGACAGGTCATCCCTTGTGAGTAACCTAGGACATCCAAGAATTCACACTTTGTTTTGACTAGAAATATTTTACAACAAAATATTCAACTTGGATTTATTGCTTTTTGTTCTTCAGATGACCGGAATCGTGTCAAGCTAGAACGTCTGACCGGCCAGGAACATTCCAACTACATCAACGCTTCCTTCATTGATGTAAGCTAACTCCAAAGTTGTATTGATAGTTTCTGATCTCGCAAAACCAAGCAAGGATGAACATCTTTCCTCCGGGGGCACACGCTGTCATTATTATTTTTATTTCGACATTATCAGTTTTATTTCGATAGGTTAGCTTTATGAGTTATTTAACTACTTTTCTCACAGGTCCTGACTAAAATACGGAATAAATTACTGAATGAATTTAAAAGAAGTAATCAAGTGAAAACAATATGTTAATAAAATGAACGAGTGGGAAAAGAAATTAAACAGAAAGTTAAAAAACATAAGGAAAGTAACCCGAACTTCTGAATAGTCCAAGAGAAACCAGGAAACTATTTTAAAAACAACTATTGGAATAACAGAAGATGAAAGTATGAAAAAATGGAATTAGAATAATATGGATGAAAAAGTAAGCATCAAATGAAAGAAAACATTGAGCCAATCAATCACAATGCTTACCAAGGAGGTAAAACAAATGGTGCAAGGTCACACCTTGCTGAGAGCACTGGACCTCGTTGGAGTTTGGGTGGATTTCATGTATACTCCAATTTCTTGAAGGAACATTCCAACAGGAACAGGTGCATTCTATATCTTTTAACTAGCCACCTGACCGACTCCTGATTGGGTCTGTTCCTTAGTCACTTTGATAACGACTTGATCTCTTTTTTACCCTCAGGGCTATGAACACAAGAAGGCCTACGTAGCAGCCCAAGGCCCTCTGCCAAACACCATGGGTGATTTCTGGCGTATGGCCTGGGAGAATCAATGCTCGACCATTGTCATGTTGTCAGAGTGTGAAGAGAGAGGGCAGGTAAGTCCAGTCACACATCTCACTATGTCTGGTTTGTCACTGACAAATCAAAGAGGTTCAGACCTCTGTTCATGTCCAGAACACTGATGTTGCTGGCCTTTCCTAAGTCTCTGTTTCATGGATCTCTGTCTGTTGTTTTTTGGCAAACGTGATCGACAACCATTCATTTTTGTGTGCTAATCTCTCCTTTCAGAATGTGTGCACCAAGTACTGGCCTGAGGCAGGAGAGACCCTGAATCCAGCATTCTTGACAGTGGCTGTCAAGGAGGTGAAAGAAGATGATGATTGCACTATCCGAGACTTGGAAGTCTCTACCACTAAGGTAAAGATCATTGCTTAAATCAACAGGCATGAATTGAATTGTTGATTGTAGTCTTGAAGCTTCCATGACCACATGTATTGCTTGGGATCAGAACACTTTAAGCAGACCTCTGATGTCTAGTATCTAATATCTGCATTTTACCCCTCCCCAGGGAGCAGGTACCAAGCTGATCCGTCAGTACCATTACCATGGCTGGCCAGAAGTTGGAATCCCAGACAACTCTGCTTCACTAGTCAAAGTGATTGGATTGGCGCATGAATACCAGCAAGACATCGGACGGTTCCCGATCCTTGTTCACTGCAGGTAAGAAAAACCCAAAACAGAAAACACTTGCACATTCATAAATTAATAACTGAACCGATTAGCAATTGACTTTTTGAGTAAACTTAAAATAATGGGAAAGGCATGAAATTTCTTATTCAAGACACCAATGACATCACGAAACTGCATTGCAGATATCTCCACTCAAGGAAAAGATTGTCGTTGAGAACACAAAACTTTCAAAACTAAAAACATACATAGGTACCCAATTTTTCTCAGCACTGCTGAGATCAAACAACCACATTTCCAGCATCCAGTCTTTGTTGGGTATTTTACCCACAAACCCAGAAGAGTATTTGTGCATTGCTACAAATTCTCCTTCTTCACCAAAACACCAGCACTTAATTTTGCTGCACTAGCAAATAGCATGTTCTGTGTACATGAAGGTAGGGCACCAAACCCCATGAAATGCAAAAGGTCATTGGGTCACAGTTCAAAGGACATAGCCAAATGTGGTAGAACCAGCCAGAAGATCTTGGTAGATTTGAGGTATCATATCTGCATCTTTTAATGGCAGTGCCGGCTCTGGACGGACTGGGGTGTTCATTGCCCTCAGCTACCTGCTGCAGAGGGCCAAGGCAGAGGGCATCGTTGATGTCTTCCAAGCCGTACGCACTCTGAGACAACAGCGCCCTCACATGGTCCAGGATGTGGTAAGTTTCCTTTGGCTTGTCATAATGTCAATATAATCTGCGTGTGGAGGTATTTTCACACGGTATACATTATTTTGATGCTGCCAAAATCACAAAGAAATAAGATTACATAAGTTTAAGCCCTACATCTATTACAAATTAATATAATGGAAATCATTTCAGATATGACAACATTTAGTTATGTATGGTATTGATGGATCTCGTTTATTTTCTTTGATTCGTATCAACAAGAACAAATTCAACTCATATCCAACAGTGTGCTCGTAGAGACAAACAGGGCCCATTCCTGAAAACATTACCTTGGTAGATACTCCTTAGGATGGCACAACTCTTATAAGAGATAATCATGCTCGATACCCTCATAAATCTCCTTTATTCACTCACCGGTGTCAAATTGAATACCGTAAATTGCCTTGCTTAAAGACACAAATCTGTAGAATAGGAAACAAGAATACAGTCTTCCTTTTTGTTTGGCTGGTTCCTCAATAGGCACAGTACCAGTTCTGCTACCGAGCCATGAATGAGTACCTGGACTCGTTTGACCACTATGCCAACTTCAAATAAACAGGGAACCAGTTGATCCACCTGGGTGAGCAGAAAGAGTACAACATCGTGTTCATCCCTGATATTACAGTACTAGCATGTATGTACCAGACAGATCAAGCCCTGAGAATAAGGCAAACATGATTCTCCCGTGCGTTTTACAGGAGAGCGAAATTTGCAAAGGAATTGTGTTAAACATTCCAAGAATTTTTTAAGTTTAGTTTTGTATATCCAGAAGATGTTAAATGCGTAGTTAATCAGATTTTAAAAGTTGGAGAATATATCTAAACTGGTGCACAGGATAATTGTAGGAAATATGTGTAAAAGAATTAAATTAGGAGATATCTTTACATTTTGGCAGAGTATTAAGCTAAATGGATCGAAAGATGAACAAGTTATTGTCTTCTTGCAAGAGCATTTGTTTGGAAAGAAGACCGATATTGTTGTACTCAGATAAATTAGATTGGTGTGGTTTTGATAAGTGATTTCAAAGAGTGGTTTCCTTTTTTTCTCCCACTATAGTGGGAGAATAGTATATGTGTCACACCGTAGTTGTCATACCTTGTTAGCATTGTTTTACTTCTTTCTTGCAGACTGAAATGTTAACAACACATTTTTGTTACAAAGTTTTGGATAAACAGACAGTACTTGGAAAATCCACCGTAGAATTTGTTTTTTAAAAGCTTTTATATTTTCTTATCGCAAAAACCATGGCTCCCTCAAGATTTATAATTGAGTCTGGGATTTTGATGAATTTGACATGTTTAATTTGAGTGAATTGGAAACACTTGGATTGATGGTGCGATGTATAAGGTTAAAGTGAACATTTCAGACTTTCTTTACCGGCAGGTGAATGAATTGCCTTGTAGTAGCGTTTTGCCATAGACAGTGAGCCATTGTAGGGGCTTGAGCTTACTTGTTTGGAATTTATCCAAAATGATTAGAGCTCATGAAATTTGCAGCATTAGTGAAATTTTTTACAATGAATTTATCAGAGATTTTGCTATGTAAAAAAAAAACAGATGAAAGTGAAGATTGTTGGCGTGATATCAGAAGAAACGTTGCTCTTTTCCTACATTTCTTGAACGAAGTCATTACCAGCATTTTCAACAGATACCTCGACAAGTTTGTACTTAAGTACAGTGAAGTATATTTACATTGGAAAGCAAAGCTGTGTAACAGTCAGTCGAGCATTTTGTTTACATATTTGGCTATTAAAGTGTGTCACCAAGGAGGCATAGATTTAGTTCGATAGCCACTACCACTTTAAACTAAATTGTAAGTAAGACAGCCTGCATACTTTTGGCAGATATTTGCACTGGTAGTACCCAGGTGTTGTAAATTTTGTAAATAGTGCCGCTTAGCTGCACAGTCGGCCAAAAAGCTATTTTTAAGCTCGTAAACTCAGATTTTTGTAAGGTTTTGCATAACTTCTTTTTTAATAGCATTGGTAAAATATATATTTTTTGTGGTTCATGTACTATAATGTCAGTTTTTCCATAATTATCAGACAGTACAAAATATTGTAGATGTATGGATGGTATATAAATGCTGTATGATTTTTTCAATTTTTTTTTTTATTCAAACGTTTAATGTTTGCAGAATACTACCAGATGTACATGTATTTACTCAAATCGTCATATTGGGAAGCAATAGCTAGTCTTTGTTGTACCAAATGAATCATGTCCAAGGTAGAGTCAGACTGGTCCTCGCAGGAATTTATAAAAGAATATGCAGTACTTGTGTAATGTTGAAAAGTGTCAAGTGGGAAAGACACCACTGAAACAAAAGCTAGCAAGAAAAATAATATGTGACCCTCTGCTGTGAAAGCAAAATTACTTTTTGGAATCTGAAGATAGCATACCACCCACTCCACCCCCCTTTCGACTGTGTGCCCCACCCCCACTTTGGGAATTATTTTCGGAAAATTTATTTAGAAAAAAGTACTATGCATGCTGAATTTGTAATCGGTTTGGTGATGAACTGAGCCCAATCAGGTAGCTGTTAAAGTCTTTCATTGTTATTTTTTAATGTATAAAATAACGAGTTTGTAAGTACTTGATTTGGCCGTCTTTTTCTCACTGAATTACTCAGCTGTTTTATTTTTTCCACTTTACTCCGAGTTTATCTCTGTTTATTATGTTTGCTAATGTCGCAGTGTTTTGGTTGAGTTTTGTTCAGCTTTCAAGCTTTGTGAACTGGATTTTGTTTGTAAACTTTTTTAGATCTGATTAATATTAGTGTACGTCTCAATTAATTTCTCAGATTTTGTTGACTGTCTTGGAATTGTTTATCCAAGAATGAATTGCTGTATTTCGTGGTCCAACCATAATTCTGAGAAATTGATTTGAATTTTTGATCAATGTAATCTTTGTCTACGAGTATCCAAATTATCTGGGAATGGTTCAGATTTTAGCAAGCAGTTCTATATTTTAAAAGTATTTTATTTATACTCAGTGTATGCATTTAGTTTTTTAATATAATTATATTTTTGCAAGCTATATTGAAATTGCATGCCTGGTTATAGATATTGAACACAAAGAAGTCACCTGTTATATTTGGAGGGCGGGAAAAAAGACTTATTTGTTTGAGTGGTTTGAAAAACAAATGAGTTTCCCCAATCCACCTGCTCTTTATAGAACCTGAGTTAAATTCCTTTGTATCCGTTTAGAAGAGTTAGTTGATGCCCCCCTGTTGTTTGTCTTAGTGAATGGGCCAATTTTCATGGAGTTTCTTCGCAGAAAAAAAACATTTAGCTAAACAAAGTTTACTTATCAAAAATGTAATTGTAATACTGTTAATACCTCTTTTGCAAAATACTTCAATGTGAAATTGATGTACAGCGTCTGTTAATCAGAGGTTATGTACCGACAATTTTTTCTGCCTTGGGGTTCCATGTTAAATTGGTCTGCATTTACCTAATATTTGCCAAGATGATTTATGGAGTGGTTACTTTGCTTAAGTTACCATTAATCCAAATTTGATGCAACGCGGCTTCATGTAGTTTAAAGTGCGGTTTTGTCTCTCCCGTACTTGGACTAAATGGCATAAATGGGTCTACAGCAACAGATTGCGGGCAGTCAAGCGTGTGCAGATCATGTGGTCGGAATGATGGGGGCGTCTGTCTGGAATGAAATGTCGAGTCACGAATTTTAAAAAGCAGCTGTTTTCTTTCTACATATGCATGCGCAACAATTGCAGTAACTGCTGCACCTTTATGAGCATTTTTTTGCCCGGTGGCAGTGTTAAAATTCCTTCTCTAAATCTTTGAGAATTTATAGATAGTTAAACTTCGTAATTGTTCCCCTGCTTATTAATATTCTCATGCACTCAATAAAACATCGTTAATGGTTTTGTAGACGTTTTGATACCTGCTTCTAAATTATCTGCAAAATATTTTTTGTGATTGTGAATTGTACTCAATCTCAATCCAGTACTTGTAGAATAATGCAAAGATTTCGCCCAGTTTCCAATGCTTCAGAATCACAGCCATATTCTGTACATTTTGGAATAATTTTTTATGTACACGTAGTCAGTTTTTACACCATGCATCCTTGGTCAGCGTGCTTATGTAGCATTTGCCTTATGGAGCAAATATTTTGGAATGCTGTTATGGAATTTCATTATATTCAAACTTTGATATTTTAATGACTACAAAGACGAATAAAGCCGCGTAGCCTTTGCAAACGGTGTGATGATTTCGATTTCTTGAATATGTTTAGTGCAAGGGGCAGTTTGGACATTTCTTAATTGCAAAATGCGAAAAAAATCCGCTGAGGGCGGGGCTTGTTTTTGAACACTTCGAAACCAACAACATGTCAGGGATGAAAAATCTGTCATACCAGAAAATCTCACGGAGACATACTCAACGCTTGTGTTACGAATGGTGTATACTCATGGTGATGAAGAGCAAGTAATTTTTCCCTTTTTCACTTTTTGGCACATTTACGTATTAAATCAAAGAAAAAGCGATTATTACATTTGTTGACTACTGTGAAGCTCGTTCTCTTTGTCAGTTCTTTGCAGCATGGAGGAATAAATCAATATTTATAGCCACAGTCACTTAAACCCAGATTTAGTTGTTTTCAAGTTCTGTGTTATTGGTGCGTCATTCGCAACAACAAAATAACTTTAACTTGGAAACCGCAATGAATTTTATTTGGCTTCCTGATGAGGTTCGAAAGAAAAATTCAACATTTAAATATGCACAACAGACGAAGGCAGGGTGTAACCTGCGCGTATGATGTAAACACGGTTGTAATGGGTTGGCATAGAAAAATGACATGGCCAGTCAAGACGATAGGCCAAACAAACGAGTTTTAAGAATACCATTCCCACACATTTATGATTTTTAGCTGGTTTATGGACAAAACTACAAATCCAGTGCGTAGCTTTAATTGTTCGTTCATGCATGAAATAACCATATTTCCGAAAAATTTATAAACCCGGCACTGAGGAAGGAAAGGAAGGGATAGACGTGAGCTTGCTCGAGGTAATAATAAACGCTACACGTGAATGGTTTGTACAGTTTTCGGTCGTCGGAATTATATCTCATCTACCAGGGTTAGTGTGTGAGCAATTAGACAATGATGCATAGATTCTTTTATTAATCAATGAATTTATCACGTTAATGATTTTTTGCTGCTCCAATTAACATGCATTGGTTTTTCCTTTTTCTCCCATAGTTTGATCCTTGATCAGCCAAATTCACTTAATTTTCTATCGAAGCAACGAAATTATCAACCTGCACTTATCGACAATCGTGAAGACGCATACAAGATGTAACAGATATTAGTACGTCTGTGACATAAAAGCCCGTTAATTTATGTGAATCATTAAATTAGGACCGGGCATAAAAGACACGCAGTGACCTTAGACGGTGACCGATATAACATTAACACATGCTGCCTCGTTTCCTATTGAAGGTCAGGTCAACAAACTTTGTGTGATTCATCATAGACACGTGCACAGAAGGCATACACACCATCATGTCATACAAAACGGTAGTAGGCCTACCGTGATGGTGGTGGGGAATTCACCACTTTCTCGCCTGTAAATATCTAGTATTTTTTTCAAATGCTGGATCCGCCGGGGTTTGTTATGGTGCAGAAAACAAGAGGATGTTTGGTGTTAATGATAACATGGAGGAATAAAAACATATGTTCGTATTCCTCCAAATTAATGAAAATTAATCAGTCCAGGGCAATATCATCATTTTACGGGCATTGTTAATCAATCAAGCTGTGAACGCTGATTTTCAAATTCATGTTGAATTGCACGACCTGTTATACTTGGTTTAAACATATGAAACTTTAAAAGTCGGTGAAAGAATGTTATTTTGGAATCAATCAAATCTGGCATTATTTCAGTATTTTTTCAATACTGTCACTCTTTTTTTCAACAGTAAAAACCGAAATTTTATCTTGCATGACAAAAGCATGACAATGGCGAATTTCATGAAAAGGAAAACAATTACTATCTGCTATCATACCATCACTGTTTTTTTGAATATCTGCTTTGGTTTAATGAGCACGTTCCTCATGTCGTAGTGTGATGGTCGAGCTGCTATCGTTTTAGTAAATTTGAAGCAAGAAAAAAATGTGATGAGATGCATGCGAGAAACATTGCGTAGTTTCAAGCTGGCTGTAGGGTCGACAAACTTTCAAGGATGTAAATACTGCAATGGGAAAGTTTGTTGCCCTCTCAAGCCTTAGACATGCCTCCCTTTTCAGCCAATCACAAAGCTCATTTTTTATTAAGTATGTTAATATTCTGACGTCAATCACGCTTTCCGTATTTTTATTTAAACCGTGTAGTTAAAGCTGTTTTGTTTGTCGAATTGTACGTCAGCCCTAATCTCTCAAGATGCTTTTTTGTCTTTTTATTTTACTTGCTAATAACTGTAATGTTACAGGTGCATATTGTATCGTATTTGAGGGACGTAATTGCTCATTGATATAAATCACCAACTGTGTGTTAAGCTTTTAAAAATTGCGCGCGGTTGGATCAATATGTGCAGTCAGATCTGAAGCACAACAAGCATTAAGCATGCCACGTATTGAAAATACGCACATACACACAGTGTCCTGGTAAAGCGTGCAAACCTGCACCGTACTGCCGATCACAGAGTGAATCGTGAATTCTCTGGTACATGACGTGAGATGTGGATTGTAACTTCTGTCCATGGTTACCTTAATTAAACTACAGTAACGCTTTATGAGAAAGACTGTGATTCGGCCGACGTTTTTGGAGTGGAGCTTTAGGCAGAAAGGGGAATTTTGTGGACTTCACCAAGTTTCAGTTTGTCGCTGGCGTCAACAGGAAATCGATCGAACATGTGTGTCGCATTGAGTGTCAGTAGACCAAGGCCTGGTTAGGCAGGAACTGCATTGTACTGTCACACCGCACCCCACCGGTAACGCCAGCGTTCATTTGAACTTCTCTTTGATTCTGGCACAGTATCCGTAGTCTTCTCTGTTGAGTGTACATTTACATTTCCTTCAAGTATGTGAACACGTGTGTAAGGGCTTTTACGACCACGCTGTTGCTAGGTTATAAACCATGTAAAAGCATCAGTTACATGGAAATTGATCAAGCCACCAGTGAATACGTCCACGGATGTCTTGCCTCAGCTGGAAAGCCATGCAGGTGATATTTCTCAAGGTCCTGAGTTCATCAGCGGCCATCGTGGCCACCTTTATGACTCTGAGTACATTACTGATGATGAATCTCTTGAACAGTAAACCGCACCATCTCAATAACCATGATAACACTGAGAGAAGTAGCCGTTATTCACTTAGTCCTGGCCGGCAGATCATGACTGTTCCTCACTTGGAGAAAAGCACACTGAGTGATTTTGATTCCTTGACGAGAACTGTCTGGAATCCACGTGATTATCGAGATGTCAATGTGCCTTCGCCAGCTTGCATGCTAAACTTGCCTCTTTTGATTTTAGTCACATCTTCCCCAGAGCACTATGACAGACGGAAGGCAATCAGGGAGACGTGGGCACGTGATTGGTTGGATCCCCAAAACACTGAATGGAGAACAATTTTCTTGATTGGTCAGACTTTAAATAATCCATCTCTGAATAAATCGCTGGAAAGAGAGAGTGTCGTGCACGGTGACATTCTAATGGGAAATTATTTAGACACTTACAGGAACCTGACGTTAAAAGTTCAACATGGAATGAGCTGGGCGCAAGAAACTTGCCAGCCACAATACTTGCTCAAAACAGATGATGACTGTTTTGTTAACTCAAGGATGTTTACAAACTTTCTGAAAACCAGCAACAAACAGCAGACAAAGCTTTATGCCGGTTTTCCCATTAGTAATCTTGAGGTTGTGCGGGATCCCAAAAGTCGATGGTATGTTTCCCGTGAGACTTACCGGCCGTCGCAGTTTGTACCCTATGCCAGTGGGACTGGTTATGTGTTGTCGAAGGATGTTCTCCAAGCTATGGTCAGCACTGCTCGTTATGTACAACCGTTCGCAGCTGAGGATGCCTACACCGGCTTACTGGCAAGTTACACAGATATTCCACTCCTGGATTCAGCTCGGTTTGCCCTTAATAATGTCAACTGGCGTCTCTGCAACTATTTATTTCTTCTTGTCGTACATGATGTGACTCCTGACCAGCAAGTTGTTGGTTTACGAAATTCAATTGAGTCCCATACCAGGTGTAATGGTCAGGCAGAGGCAACAGATTGGAATTGATTTGCAGTTTGCTGTAACAGAATCAATCTATAACTTCCTAGAAAATGACTTCATTGTGATACATTGAAAGCTTCCAAAGCCAATTTCAAACTGGAATGTTAAATGTTGAGAGATACCATTGCTGAATGACTGAAATATTCAATGAAATATTTCTTAAAATTATCCAACAGTTGAAGTTAAGAGTTGCATTCATATTTGGGGAGATATCCAGTCAACAACATTTTAAATCACACAATGTCAGAAGATTGATGGTAGTGGAATATTTGTTGCAAAAGTGATTTATGAACCCCAAATATGAAAGCGATGATATTTGAATATGTTAACATAAACAGCTGATAATGTCCTCAACGTTTCTGATTATTGAAAATGTAATAGACCATTATTTGTTTTATGTCATTTCATTTCCTGCAAAATAAACAATAACACTACATGTACATTTATAAAGAAAAACAGCAGACCCTTGTGTCCGGTCAGTACAAGAAAATATTTGGCCAAGAACTGTCACAGTTTTACAAACTATTATGAAATTGATTGACTTGTAAAATAATCACTTGTGATATATTTGTGTGATGCAACAGAATAATGAACCAGGTTTTTTTGTGATTGTACATATACAAGTAAAGTTTATGCATTTCTCGGTCACAAGCCGGAAAACAATTTGTTTCAAATAAAATCGCTGTGAATAAGAAGAGAAGTAATCGTAGGCAAAAGATTTGTTTGGAAAGTACAGGCTGACTAAACTAGTTATTTCCTCTGGTTTTGTAATTGCCTTACAAATATCAATGCAATATTGCCAAGTCAATGCAAAGTTGGAGTCACTTGTTGAAGTGGATCTCTGGGATGGCATTTTTGAGGTTTCCCTCCAAAGAAAGTTTCAGTAAAGTAATGCAGCTGTATCCTGAGCCTATAGACTACTTTATAGGTTTTGATGTACATTTGCCTTCACATTAACGTGAAAAGTGATTGTAATATTTAATTATTTTTAGTTACTGTATCATCTGGCCTATCAGTTAAGTCCTTTTCAGAGTTTATGGTTTTAACGTCACATTTTTGCATTAGAATTACTCTATTCCTTGATTTTCTTGTTTTTATTCAATATTTGGTCACTTAACCTGATGACATTGGATGAATTGAGTTGGTAAAAGAAATTGTTTTAAATGTTTGCTTTGCTCCTTTGTCATCTGGTTTAGCAGCATAGTCATTGTGCATTCAGCCGTGCACTTGATATCTATTTTGTCTCCAAACCAGAAATGATGTTCAGTGCCATCCCCTGTTTTTCTATCAAAATTCGCAAAACCAACAGCTTTTTTCTCAATGCTTAATTAAATTTTCAATAGCTGTTGGCTTGTGGTCTTGAACTTGAACATGTCGTTGCAGCCTAGTCCCCTCTTTAACTTTGTGTTGACAAACACTACCAGGATATTTTCATTTCGTCGAGGATTTGCAGGTAAAGCTCTCGGCACTCTCTGGTGTATGGAAACTGCTTACAATACCTTCCGTGAACTCTTTAGTAGTTCAACCTCTCGTTAACTGTATCAGATGTAATATGGCACACCAAATCTTGCAGGTATAATGTAGTTGAGTTTTTACTAAGAAATGTGGAAGCACAAACAATGCAGTAACAATGCAGTTTACATCTAGGGGGGGCCTATAGTGTACTTATTCCCGTAGGATATTTATTATCCCAACTACTATTGTAATTGTGCTCCCAAATTTTGTCTCCATTGAAAACCTTTTAAATTTGCAGATGGCTACGTGGATTCAGGCAAATTCCAAATGTTCTCGTTTTCCTGTACCACGTTGGGTTTTGTAAATTTGGGAAGAGTTCCAGTCCCCACCCCCCTTAAAACATACAGTTCGTGCAGTAGATGTACAAATGTACATTTGACAGGTCACAGGGTATATTGGAGAATTAATTTATCATCTTTGAAAAAATACACTATATATCATGAACATTTCAACTTCATGTTTGAAGTAAAATGTCGAGATGGTAAATCTATTTTTAGAATTCTCTGAAGTGTAACTTATTCTCTGCTAGTATTCTGTTTTATGGTTGCGTGTTCCTGATGGAGGAAGTGGAACCAGATATAATTTTGTAAATTGTGAAATGGTGAATTTTACGTGTATGTACATGTATTTAACAACTTGTTGCATGATTAATGTTACATAAGAAATTCAGAAGTCTTAATTGTAATTGTTTGGAAACAAGATTTATAATACTGTACCCGATGGTGCGAGGTATGTCTCCTGAATTTCAAATAAACTTCCAAGGTATAGTGGTTAATTTGAAGCGAAGAAAGAGCTGGAGTATTTTATCGTTGAATTTTGTCTAGCAGATTTTCAATTAGTCCCTGGTGAAGGTGTTTGAACCCCCCCCCGTAAAAGCCCATGTACCAACAGTAAGTTTGAACCATTTTTGCAGCAGATCTGTGTTCAGTCACACCGCAGTGCACAGCAATCATATTTCTTCACGTGCAGGTTTTATTAGCAATTTAACCAGAAATGTCACGGAACGGAAAGAAATTATCCCTAGTGATAAATTCCTGCCAATAATTGTCCTAGCCGTGCGAGAGGAAACAATAGGTGCCTACAGCTGGCGTCAACTGTATTTTATCAGTTGGTGTATACAGTCAACATATGTTATAACAAAGCTACGGAGACCAGACAAATGATTTGTTATAAGCAGGACTTTGGTATATAATTTCTTTATATCAAGAGTCGACTGTAGTTCCCATGGATCGAATGGCATAAGATGAAATACTCTGTCAAAGGACATTAAGACAAAAGACGTTTTACAGATTGAAAGTCACATGTAGAATTCTAAAAATGAATCCGGCCGAACTAATTGCTAACGTGCAGGAGGGAAACCTTGAAGATTGCTTTTGTCAACAGAAACGCTCAGGGGGTTGCAACTAGTTTTACGAGTAAGATACTTATCTCACCCTGTTTGCTTTGGTCGTTTTAGTTTGGGTGGTTGTGTTTGCTATCTGTCGCGCGACAATGTCGGGTAAATAGAGATAGCATTCAGTAGTAGATCACGCCAGTTTGTAGGATTGTAAAAACCAGAGAAGTAGGTGTAGGAGGGACGTAAAAGCATGGAGTTAAAAGTGGCCCTTCGTTGAACCCGGACCCCGGTACAGAGGCTCAATTTTCCTGATCACCCTTACATTATTTATGAAATTATTTAAAAATCAGAGACGGATTTTGAGCACAGAGAGCGTTATCAACAAGCTTAGGCGTAAGGTATTGTATTGTACATAATTATTGATTCGAATGGCGATTCCACAATCCGTGGTGTGAAGGCATGATCCTTGTAATTTGTAATGTAAGGACGATGACTTCTTGGACAATTATTTAGATTGTGATTTACATCCCAGTTTTTGGCTTTTCTGCGTGATTTCTTGAGTTCCGAATGAAATTGACAGAATTCACGGTGTAGGCGTTTTGTTGGCGAAATTTCAGAAATGATCGGACAAACACTTGGGGCAAAAGTACGCTGTTGTAGGGGCTTCCTCGTTGGTTAGACTGTGATTTGGCATTCCAGTCTTGCGGGTGGTTTTCTGATTAACATTTTAAGGGCCTGCATGTTGAATGGTGAAACATCGTATGACCTTCCTCAACATTTGTGGGTCGCTCATGCGTAAGATGATTTTCGAAGGCTTGCTTGAATCGAACAAAAGGACACAAAATGCCTTTGATACAGGAAGATACCTCGGAAGCTCTTCAAAAGCTTCGAGCAAACATGTCTTCAAAACCGACAGTGGCAGAGCTTGTGGCCTCCGGGTTTCGCATCTGAAGAGAGCCAGCTATTTTGGTTGAACAGTTATGTCCAAAAACTCCTCAACCGACGGGTGTTGTGGTAGCACAAGCACTTAAGGGTGCAAACTACTAATTCAAGTGAGAGTTTCTGGCCAGCTCATTAGCATTAAAAGTGCCCCACAGTATCTTTTGAAAAAGGGGATTGTTTGGCCCCCAAAAATGATGAGATAGTGTAAATCTTTGCCAGGATCAACTCCCTGGGTCTTTGAGCTTTCACATGAGAGCAGAAGGGCTAAAAACTACGGTTGAAAAATGGTCCTAAGTGCCCGAGAAAGTTGAGGGTTGCAACTTGAAAAACGCCTGCAATCAGGCTTCGGAAAAAACACTTTTTGGGAGTGATTTTGTTTTGTGGGAATAATTTAAAATGTAATTGGTTAGCCAACAAAAAAATTAAAAGAATATGAAAGATAAGTGACCAGACAAGAATTTCATTTGTGTTTAAGAAATCTCAGGGATGTTGGCGTGCATGTTATTGGGCCCTGAACAGTGCTGATTTTACACTGTTTTCAATGGGGCTTGAATTAGTGAACTGTACCCTCAATATAACACGGAACAGCTTGAACTCCCAAGTGATCGTGAACTTAAGTCCTTGAACCTCAGTGAGTGGTTTCCCATATAAGTGATGTAACTGTTCTTATACACGTACGATGAGGGGAGTAAAGGAAGTTACACCCAACACGCTCCCAAGTAAGATTCTCGCATGGCGAACCCTTTACATGAATATTAGAACTGGGGCTCAGACACGCAGGGTACCAAATCATGGTTCGACCCGGGTCGCTTGTCAAATATCGATTGTTGACGATATGCATTTGTATATGATGCAGGATGTAGGAGTCCTAAGCTTTAGACTAAAACCTGGGACTTGGTTTGTATCGATTTTTACACCCGAAGGTGGCTAGTGTTCTCTGCATAGTGCAGAACTGTTCAAGACAATAAGTCTGACGGCAACCGCCAATTTTCGGTCTCTTGCTTTTATGCATTGATGAAGCCGACAGTTGTCTTCAAGAGAATTCTAACTTACTTTCAACTGCAACTAGTTGACACCGTGAGAGGCCGCGAACGTGCGCATCAGCACAACCTCGGTATAACTGGATTTGAATTTATAAGTTTTTTGAGTCCACAGAAAAAGTGAGACACGTAAAGGATACAACTTTGCGCAAACTGATCATCATAAGATGTGTATGTGCCGCCGAATACGCAAATAAAGTGGGGCTATCACTATTATTTGATTTGAGGATGACTGTTCATTTTTTTAAAGTCTCGTTACATACGAGCTTGCATCAGCGGTACGAAGGGACCGTGTGATATTGTTCTGCCTCACTACATAGGTTTAGAGTACATGCAAAAGTACATTGCATTTATTGAGGCAGACGCCAACTGGCACAAAGGAATTTTTGGACATGAAGGCAAAGGTTGGATTAAGAATACAAAAAGCAGTAGAGCGTGAATGTACGCAGCACAGTGCCACACGCAATCAGTGTGTACTACGTAAGTTCAACTTCAAGGATTGTTTAGCGAGGCTGTGCACCGACTGCTGCTGTAAAAACAGTGAAACCCTCCATACAATCATCAAAACAGAGTTACGAGGGTGTGACGCATTAAGTTATTTTGCGTTTGTGCTGACTCGACTTCAGGATGTTAACTGCAATCATTTCCGTGTTTCACTTCCAATTAGTGTGAGATTATTTCTTTCACATCAAGTTTTACATTTTGTTTTCTTTTGTATATCTATAATTCGGTTTTGCGGAGGTTTGTTGAAAAGACAGGGTTAAAATGCTGGGTTTAACCTCTAAAACGGACCCTACAAGGAATTATGTTAGATTATTTTTTTTGTACACCCTGCCGTTTTCCAGGAAAAGACCCCTCCCGGTCATTCTGATGTGATAAAAGTGTCCTCATTTATGGTATGCAGAAAAGTGTTTTTCATGGACAATACGCACCATGCTACCAAGCCCCGTTTCTCACTTCAATCAAATCCGTGTCACCTCCAAAGTACACACATACACTTCAACTGTGTAAAAAAAAATCCTCTCTTAAAAAAAATACTATACAGGCGGTACCGGTTACATATCATTACTTTGACAAAGTGCGCCGCGCCAGAGGGCGCTATTGCACATTACTGTTGGCGGCGACAGGACATCTGCTTGGCAAAACGCAGCGGTGGCGAAAGTGCCAGTAGGTCGGGACAATCCCAGTCCAGGGAAAAAAACAGATCTGAGAGGGAAAGGGAAAAGAAAACCTGAGAAACGGAAATTTTGCTGTTTTCTGTCTGCTGAACCAGGGAAAAGGCTGGCTATGGCCATTCATGCATTCAAAACAGCAAAATCGCCCACTTTAGAACTCATTATTTTGTTTATTGTGAAGAATTATTCCTTGATGGAGAGGTTAGTTCAGACAATTCATGTATTTGAAATACGCCAACAAAAAATTGAAGGGATGGGCGGTTCGTTAGTTCTGGCAACCGTCACCCGTGGCCGTCATCGGATGTATATTTTTGACAATGTCCACTGAACGAAAACGTCATCCATGCCCAGATCAAAACAGAAATAAACTTGTTAATCAGCACTAAATGTTGCTGTGTCACAGTGTAATCTATAGGTTCAAGCATCCGGCACGTGCTCGTGTGAAACTAGTTGTTTTTATTATTTTCCAAGTTAAAACTTCTTTGGAAGGATTGATCGATTTTAGCATGGAGGAATCAAAAAAATATATCGGGGTTTGTGTGTTGGTGTCGTTGGCGTCGTCAAAACGTCAAGCCCTCTAACATTTTAATTAGCAAACGTTGTGTATTTCAGCTGTTTGTTTTTTCTTCTTTTCTTGTTTTTTTTTTTACTCTTGTAATAGATCTTAGATCAACTTGTGCAATTTCGCCCTTGTCGAACGGATTGGTCCAACTCTCAGAGATAAGAATACAAAGCTCCAGAGGGTGTCGTCCACTAATTCAAGCCCCATGAATTGAAAAAAGTGTGAAAAATCTGCATTGTTCAGGGCCAAGTAATATGCGTAACATCCCTGAGGTATCTGAAACACACGTTAAATTATTGTATGCTCCCTAATCTTTCAATTTCGTTTCAATTTTCTGTGGTTAACGGATTTAATTTTGAGTTTTTCCCACAAAATAAAATTCCCCCCCCCCCAAAAGGATTTTTCCGAAGTCTGCTTGCAGCTTTTTTTACAAGTGGCAACCCTCAACTTTCTCGGGCACTTAGTGACCATTTTTCAACCGTATTTTTCAGCCAATCTGCTCTCATATGAAATCCCAAAGACCCAGGGAGTTGATGCTGGCAGAGATTTACAAAATCTCACCATTTAGGAGGCCATACCTCCAATAAATTTTTTTCAAAAGGTACTGCGCAGCATTTTAATGCGAATGAGCTCGCCAGAAATTTTGACTTGAATTAGTAAATTGCACCCTCCGTCACACACAGGGCTCTGGTCCAACATTTGAAATAGCGCCCCCATTTTACGCACAGAATTAAGTTAGTCGGTCCCCCAAACAACTGTTTTCCCGAATATCAGACTTTGCCATCGACAGCTCAAGGATCAAGACAGACGCAGTGTTGACAAAAAACTGGCCTACAGTAGTAAAGCGAAAGTACTAGCAGGAAATACAGTGTAGATATTGCTCGTTTTGCAGGAGGTGCAAGTTTCCACAAGTGGTAGTTTGGAAAATAGAGGGTAAGTGCTGAAAATCAGGAATTTGTGGTATCACACTTTATCAACGGAGGAAGGCAAAAGACGGAGCTCGATGGCAGGCATGCAAGCGGTTTCAACTTCAAGACTAGAGTCACTGATTAGCACAACAGTACTGTGTCAGTAGGCTTAGCCTAAAATTGGTATGGGCCCTCCATCTATCGCCCTTACTTAGCACACCATGCACTCCGGGTTCAGTAATTCAGTTTAGCCATCTTAACTTTATTTTCAAAGCTGAGCAAAAACCAACTTTGGTTACCAACCAATACTCAATATAAAAAGAGCATAGGCCCATTGTATAATCAAATTGTGAGAGCTGTGTTAGCAATTGTGATTTTTAAACATGTTAAAGAGGGGCTAGATGATAATATTGTCACATCGTTGGGTGATGAAATTGACCAACAGCATCACTGCATTCCAGTAGTTCTGGTCTTCCTCCTCTGCTCATTTCTTCTTTGAATCAGTCGGGCTTTTTTTTGAGGGGGGGCATTCACTGTGTTCTTTTTCCCTTTGGCAAGAGTTCCATATGCGGACAATACTACTTTTCCCTTTTAATGCTTTAACAGCTGTCAGAAAGTGATGACATGAACTAGAAATTGAATTATAGCTCAGAAAATTCTGAGGCATGTACTTAGAAACTTAGTTTTTTTTTCAGACGAGTTTGTGCACAGGGGCATCAGGTGTTTCATTTTAATTTCAACTCAGTTTCACGATAGTTTTCTTTGCCATGCACAGATGCTCATTCCCACATTCTCATAAAGTGTTCCTTTCTTCCGAACCAAACTTTGGCATGCCCAACTGTGTCAACAAAGTTGAGCAGTTGGGGCAGTGGTACAGTTGGGATAATACAAGTAAAGTTAGTACTGAAAGTGATAGGCTTTAATGCTTAATGACCGGTATGTATCACCATTGATATGCATCAGCAGTTGGAAATTTTATAGTTTGATCTGTAGGGGGCACCTGTACACATTAGATTTTGGTGTTGACGGTTGTATGGTTGATTAGTCTGAATTTTACTTTGTCGAAACATACATGAATGTAAATTTCTTTGCTTTTTTTTGGTCATGCGTGTCATCAAGGAAAGTTTCGTCATTTGCCTTATAATTTATCATTTCTTGTCTGTGAGTTACAAAAACTGCAAATTTTTAATAAAATGTTTGGAGGATTTTTGTTTGGTATGCATGTGCATACGTGCACACATGTAATGGGAAATGAAAAAGTGTAAATCAACTTAATTAATGTACATGTACATTACATGTGCTAAAGTCATGCTTGCTGGGATATATACATGTACATTGTACATGTGCTTTAAAAGGGGTTTGCACCTTGCCTGACAAACCTGTTTGTTGGGGGGGTGGGGTTGTTGATTAAATTCCAGTAACACAGTCTTATTAAGACAGTGCCATCAATTAGGACAACTGCCCTGTCCTGATAAAGCTTTGTTACTGGAGTTAATTCTTATGGCTACCAAGGTGTAATTAAAGCACTGTTTAAAGTACATGTACATGTACATGTACCGGGTACATGTACATCTGAGCAAATATTCTCAGTAAACGTTGCTTCAACGCAATATCAGTTTTGAAGAGAAACGTCTTACATAAGCTTCAGTCTGATAATAAATGTAAAAACAATTTCTGACATTTTTAGAGGGAGAAAAAGTTAAAAGTTACTTTAGGGGTACATTTTTTTAGGGGGGTCACCCTGTATAGTGTTTTTCTTCACTGTCTGGAGGGGAAAGTCTCATCTTGTGCACTGCAGGTCTTGCTTTGTGGAAAATTTGCCTTTTGAATAAATTTAGCCACATTATTCTGTGTATTGAGAATGACAATTAAATCACACGTAGTTGATAAAGTTGATACTCATGCCTATTGTTTCCTTGAATTCATTGCCAACATACCACGAAGTGTAAGGCTGGTCTTCTTTCCCCAAAATCTGTTTCATGAAATCTTTCCCAAGCTGTGAAGTGAATTGTCTGATCTCCCTGGGAGCATGACAATTTCTGGTACTGCAGTGGGGGTAAAAATACCTGTGAATTGGGTCAAAAGGTCAGAATGCATTGCATTGGAGTAGACATGTGCACGTGCATACCGGTACATGATGTTTTTTCTGTACAAGTTTTGGTTTTCACTGAGTGTAAACTATACCCATATTTACTGTAAGTCATAGACATGGTGAACTACGGCATGGTAACCTATAAAAGTTGCCTTTCTTCATGCATTGAGGTACCGGTACCCCGTACAATCAGGGCATGTGATGGAGGGCAACAAGTCATCAATGGGTCATAAATAATTTGACTTGCCTTGACCTTTACCCTTTAGAATCGTTATTACACGTGGGTGTACCATAACTAAGTGAGATTTAGAACTGTAGGCCTACATGTCAAGTACATGCACACACATGTACATGTAATAATAATGGAAAAGCGCTTAGGACTTTGATTACATGTAGGCACTGTACATGTCATTCTTATTATTTGTACACATTTTATGTAAATGTAGGCCTACATGTACATGCACATGTAGTGGGTACATGTACACGTGTCATCCCAATTTGGACTGAAGTACATGTACTTGGTACAGTATTGGTTCATTACATGCACTATACATGTACAACATTTCTGCAACATGCTTTGCTTAGAAGAAGCCTTGGGTACAATTTGCAACAATTTGACAAACACGGGGGTGTTGGATCTTGTTTTGTGGGTTTTTTTATGTACATGTATGTAAAATGGAAAAACCTACATGTACATGTATTCCTCTATTTTTGCAAGGAAAGTTTAGAAGATCAGTGCAGTCTTGAGCCAAGCAGGTTTGGGGTATTAGTTTTTACGTTAGAAGCATTACTGTACATGTACGGGTACATTGTAATTTGTAGGAGCCAGATGTTGCGGTGAAGAAACTGTTAAGGCGTTATCACCAAAGTGTCACAAACCTCACTCCAGTCGAGTTTTCTCAGCTCTTGTTGCAGTAGCCGGTATGTCTGCCAAATTGTGTTACTGTCAAATTCCTTTCCAGGGGTAAGGATAGGCTTTGGCGTCAGATTAGTTGAGAAAATTAACAAAATACCGGTAACAACCTCCTTCTATTTTCCGAACAGCCGATGGAAGTGAGAAGTGTTTTCTCACTTCCATCAATGAAAGGAAGACAGTTTTTTTAAGATGTTCAGATATCTCGAGTGAATATTTCAACACTTCTTCACCTCTATCAAAGTAACAACTTTTAAAAAAAAAAGGCTTTTGCAAGTATTTAATGCACATTTATGTACATGTACAAGTCTGCATGTAGCCACATTTGGATTTACATGTGAGTACTGCTGACTGCAGAGTCAATTATGCTGTTAGTCTTCTAAGGGGATCTGATAGGGTTTAATTACCTTAGAGAAGAGACTATGCATGTTGATGAGTGCCCTGCTGGCCATGCTCCATACACCAGTAGCTCCATGTCATTCTACACAAATGTAGAAACGTGTACATGTACATGAAGTGTACCTACTCTGTACATGCGTGTACATCTACATGTTCTCATAAATATCAGTCATGTACATATGGCTAGTTCACAACAAGCTTTGCTAGTAAACCTCAAGTATATGTAAGTATTAAGTTGATGTCATTGGTGTCATCTCTTTTGTTTAGCGCATTTGCTTGTCTTAAAGACTGAATACAGGACTGTATTGTTTCCTTTATTGAGTACAAACATGTTCAGAATGTACATTTATGTATGTCAACATCCAACATTTCTGTCGGTGAGCTTTGTAATGTTCAGGAAACTTTCTTCTGTGTGAAGCATAGCACATGTCCACGTGCATGTACCTACATGTATGTTTATATGGCACTACATGTACATACATGTACATGTTGTCTGCTACATTTATGCATATACATGTACAAAGTACATGTACATGTGTATCATGTATGCACAGTACGTGTGCATCTTCCAATGCAGTCTTTTTATATGGTGCACTGACAACATGGATAACGGATGTTGGTTTCCTTGTACGTGTCCTAGGGCCTACCATGAAGACAGGGCAATGATAGGACAGGGTGATGAGTCCTCCCCCAGGTCAGCCAGGTTCAGAATGTTGTGGGCGTGTATTGTACATTGTACCAACCTTACGTCATACTCTGATACTGTTTTTCAATGCCTAGTGTGGCACATGGACTAGACAGCTTTATGTGTAACGGAGCATGCACGTATGCTGCATTCAAACATGGTGAAAAACCATACTTTGCATTTCCGTCTACACAAGTGTATTTACGGCTGCATGTGTGTGTGTTTTACAAGACAGATTTGTTTTTCAGGAATGTCTGTGACCTTATATGTCACAAGGTCCCTGATTTCACCATATCTTGTCAAGTCTGATTGGTTTTTACAGTGAATGGTGAAATGGGGTGCAACTCTATGGTCATGGACTTTTTTGTATACTGTTGATGAGACTCCTAAGCTGAGTACTGTACTTTCAAAGTTAAGCATTGTATAGAGGAATTCCACAAATTACCGCTCCAGTTTTTGTTTGTGTCCTTGTCACATCTGAAATATGATTTTGTAAGTTCAAAACACATTTTCTAATTTCCAAGGAGGGTGATGAATTAATGCCAAACAAATAGAAACAGCTTGAAATCAATTCCGGTGATATTTCCAAATCAAATGTAACAGGGACACAAAAATGTCACACTTTTGGGCCCCTAATTTCTGGAATGACAATGTACCCATAACTCCTGTAGTCTTACAGAATTTGTACATGTATGAAAACATGGTACAGTTGAAATAGAAACGGTGGCCTATTTTTGTGTATGATACAGTATGAGTTGACTATTGTTTTACATACATGGACATGTAATGTTGTATGTGTGTATGTGCCAGAATACAGAGGTACCTGTATGTACAAGTTTGTATGATGTACATGTACATGTTCATGTACATGTAGAAGGTTGGCTCCAGACTTGCTGTACACATGGTACGTACCTGTAGCTTATAAGCAGAGGTCACATGTACATGCGCTTATTAAACATGTTGAGGGATGTATACAGGATGACAGGTTGTAATTACATGTACTTTGTATAGTGAACTTGAATTGAATGCAAGCACATGACCTCAGAGTGATCACTGCTGCAGCATGCCCAATAATTTGCTTGTACCAGTATTCGGTAGTTCTAGGCATCAGGAAATCACTTCACAGACCAATATTACACACATAAAAGTACATGTAAACCTTGGCTTACTGCCACAGGTGCATTTTGTATGTGTCTTAAAGACATGTAAAGAAGATCAGACTTTTTGATCAGAGTATAAAGTACACTTTCCATAACCGGAGTTTATGTTCATCTTCTTTTCAATGCAGATAATTGATGGGATAGATCAAAAGTGAATGATACGATGTCGTACAGGTCATTCATACCATTAGCTACATGTATACCGTATTACGGTTGACCAATAGACGCAATGTCTCAGCTGGAGAAGCACATGCCTCCAACATCCTTGAAGGTCAAGACATCTGGTTACCAACCACAGCAGGGTACCAGTTCACCCTATTGGAACTGTGGATGTACTGGACAGAATGGCAGACGAGACGTAGAATGGCATTGTGGGAGCATCACCAGCGAAGCGAGTCCATTGCCGAGTGACGCATCAAATTCATCCAGTCCTGCTTCGGACTACTGTCCTGCTCAGTGTGATTGTGATCACCTGTCCACTAGTCCCGATGAGCAACACTCCCTCCCCACTAGACTAAACTTTTCCCGCCATGACACGGTGGGCTACACACACTGTGACGGACAGGGTCAGGTATGGTGCGATGGTAGGAATCGCTCTCATTCTAGGATCCCATTGGATTCCCTGAGACCTCTCAGTCCGGGTTCGTCAGCTGTGGCCATGAAGACATTGCTGGACAATGTGTCTTGTCTGGACGACTTTGACAGAGAAGAAATTGGCAGTGGGTTCTTTTCAACAGTCTACAAGGTAAGACTAGCATTGCCATTAATTGACGTAGTTATAAATTATAATGATCCTGATCACCAGAATTGAAACTGAACTGAACCCAGAACCAAAAATTCAAACCCAAACTAAACCCTAGTCATTTACATGTACTGCATACATGTAAGTCCATGTATGAGCTTAACCAGTTCACACAGTAGGACATGTACATGTAGATAAATGATCCATCTGGGAACTCTACATTTATTTGCAGGTCTTATACTGTTTTGTTTTTTAGAAACATCAAGCCTCATGTTGAGTATCAGGGGACGAGGGCGGGTGTGTAAAGTCCTCCTAAATGCATGATTTCCATTGGAGATGGATCAACTGGATTTTGAAGAAGTTACGAGGATGAGAGCTCTAGGCAGGCCCAATCAAACAAAATCTTGGTGCTTGGTTCGTACTTGAGGTCCATGTGTAAAAAACTCTGCAAGTCCTGTTAGAGTTTATCTTGTTTATGTGTCGGGAACAATATACATGTGTACGCATGTACTGTACATGTATGCACTATATACAGTAGAAGAATCCCTTTGAAAAAGCTTGATTGTGTTGTAGCAAGTAGTGCATACACAGTTATTCCTGAAAATCAATTTAATCCTTTTAAATGCAGTCATGCTGCTCAAGAGCAACTGAATGGCTAGCCTAACCCTGACACATTTTGAGGTTACAGCCATGACAGCGTCCCTGGACCTCACACCGGTTCATTGTGATGTTGACAATGATGTACCCGTACCATACATGCCTGAACGTACGCAAAGTTTCCTAGGTGTAGTGAATTTGTTCAGTGTATACAAATCGGTTGTGTTCACGCACGTCATGCGAATCCAGTCTTATTTTGTGGTATCTTCCTGGTGAAGAGATTACCAACAATGTGGACGATCAGGGACAAGTTTTTTATTGAGAAATGTGGAATGCACTCTTTATTTTTCCACAGTGTTAGAATGTGGCATCTAAGCTTCGTGCATGTAGAATATCTACATGTACGTGTAGATTCATTGAACTAAAATCAAAGGTTTAGCCCATGTACATATAGCCTTGGCCTGGTACATGTGTAGATAGACAAATTTAGCCTTTAAAGACAAGTGGTGAAACTACATAAAGTGGGACATGTGACATCCCTTTCCCATTTCTCCCAGATATATTGTATATCCCTCCCCCTGAATACAGGTACGCCCCCCCGGTACGTGTATGCGTCCCCTTTTGAAATTGACACAACCTTTCTTTTGCTTTTAATGCCTACAAAGCCACAAAGCTACATGTACACGTATGTGCTTGGCATTGTACCCATGCCCTCATCAGATATTTCACTTTTATAGCCCTAACAGTCCCAAATCCTCCGATTTTAATATGATTTTACATACACCCTAAGGGGTTAGGGTTAATGCAGAGTTATGTGAGTAGTAGGCATAGCACAAATTGCTTGTGACCTTGCCTGAAGAACTTTCATCTTGGTGTACATGCACCTCTGGTTTGATCTGTCTGTGTACTCATAGTGATGTATGCATGTACAGTACATTGTACATGTAAGGTATAAATGTACATACATTCTCTGGTTACCACTGGACATATGTACATGCCAGATGTGCATTTACTGGTGGTAGTGTGGTAGAACTCAATTACAGGTAACTCCCCCCCACTCAACCCTTGACCCTGCCAGCCATAAGACCTATGGTACACTATACTTGTCCATGCACAGGAATTCCTATCATTTGACCCAATCAGGAGAAAGGAGTCATCTGTCAACCACAGATCAAATGTGGGAGAAGTTTTTCTTAAATTGAAAGTGGAGACATTTAGCATGTTTAGGTATAATGTACATGTATGTCAGGTCTGCCTAAAACCTGATGTCATTGTAATAGACCTACTTACTTAATACAAAAATGTTTATGTTATCATTTATAACTCATAACACGTTTGTGTACGATGTACTTGTACATGTATCTTCTCACTCTGTTTTTTCTTCCGAGTGTCAAAGAATTGTTTCCAAATATCCAGTCGATCTCCTAATATAGTTTCCTTCATCCTCAGACCTTGATTTGATCAGTGTATTATTTTTGCATGACAGGTGCAGCATAAGAAGACAGGGCAGGTCCTAGTTCTGAAGCTGAACAACAAGGAGTCAAGTTTTGCTGGCGTCATCCAAGAAATTCAGCTGCTTAAGAAACTACAGCATCCAAACATTATCAAGTAAGATGTGACAAAATACCAGAGCATAGTTCAGACACACGATATGACATTTCAACCCTTGTTGAGTCCTAAAAATTAATAACCGGTGTGCCCAAATCATGCGGCCGGCCGTGTCTAGGACGTACACAGATGCCATGGGAATTGGTCACAGCCATTAGGCAGTGACTGGTATTGGCTCTTCCACTAGAAGCCATAACGTCCAGACGCAGACTTGTGCTTGGATAGAACTTCAGTCTCCATATCAACCCCGCACGGTACATGTACGTGTACTTACTAGAGATGGAAAGTCCAGTGTGTTGACTTGATTTGAAACATTTTCATTAACAATTTTCTTAGAGGGATTTGTATTACACAAACAAAGAGCCAGTGCCCTGTCTGTTCTCTTGAACAGAACTTATTCATCTTTGTCAAATGTCGTGAAAAAGTTTGCAGCATTTTTTATGAAAGGTACCAGAATTTTTCCGTTATTTGAGGCAGTTTGAAGCTGTTTAAAATTTTAAGGGACTGTACAGTGTATGTAGATGTCTAGCCAAAGCGTGCAAGTCCAGCGCTGAGCTGTGTGGCATCAGGTGAACAACTACTCTGTCCAATTTCCCAACTGTTTTTCTTTCCTTTCCTTCAGGCTTCTTGGTGTGTGCGTTCACGAAGCCAATATCCACGCACTCATAGAGGTAAGATTGCTCAGAGTTTAAAATCAAGATACATGTACATGTATATTTAGTTAAAGTAATGAAATTAGAAATGTTTTCACGTGGCTATGCTTTTTGTACATGTTTTCCCCCTGCACAGTTGTTCACACATCAGCACCATAAACTCTTTCCGATGTTTGTCTTTCTCTTTAGAGACTTTTCAACCTGTTCATGTTGCTGCATGCACAGCCTAAATATGTTGAAGTTTAAAATTACACAATAATTACAAGCACTTTCAGGTCAGAAACACTTTCAGAGGTTTCAGACCTGAAAACATTAATTTCTAAAAACTCAGAAATTTCCAAAGGTAAATGTTGACTACTTCTCCCAGTTCAAACAACGATGTCTGTGGGCTGTTATCCAATTGGGATGGGAAAAACTGCATCAGTCGACGGTAGTTGACGGACTTTAAACCAATTAACTAAGATAAACTACACAACTGCTGTGAACTCTGATACTGGCATCACTGATACAATAACGCTTCTTATTGCTGGTGCAATTGTAAACAATTGACACTTGAATATTCCTAATTCATACAGTAGCTATTGCTTTGAGAGGTTTTACATCTGTATAAGGTACATGTATGATATTAAACACAATAGCAGGCCAATTCCGATTTGTACATTGTACATGTACTTGTGTCTGTTCTGGTGTGTTTGTTTTGATTACTTTCATTGTTTGTTTGCCAATGGCTTCCTGGTTTTTAAAAAAAGGGTAGGGTTTAGGTAGTTGATGCTTTGAAATTTGATCTGTCATGTAGAAACAATGTTTTGTGTACTGAAGAGATCCCAAAACATCTGCAGTTGATTAATTCCCAATGCATGGACATGTACATGTAAGTTCACAGTAGTTGGAAAAGATTTGATTGCTGGATTCCTATTTTGTGGAAAAACCACAGAACACGAAAGTTTGTTCAACCGATTTCTGTGAGACCAACCTCAAGTCACATGTATTTGTTTATTTACCACATCCAACTCTAGCAGAGGGATCGCCAGTTACAGGAATGGGATAAAGTTAATGTATGTTAAAATTTTGATTCTAATATAAATTATTGCAATAAATGTTTCAGGAATTCAAAAGGAAAAAAATTAAATCAGTGTTTGCAACTTGGACAGAGCTGAGGAGGCAAATAGAACACTTAAGGAGAATGAAACCATGGTTTATTGCCTTAAAATGTGGAACAATGAGACAGCTCATTAAAACCATCAGGATGGGAAGATGGAATCGTGTATTTCCGAATATTAGAAACACAGATGGCGTGGGGTGTTGATGTCCTTGTGGCTAATTATTCCTCTTGTCTTTAGCTGCATCGCTTGTTGAGTATGGTTTCCTTTCAGCTATGGCCTTCAGTCTGAAAGCTTTCATTGGCGATGTTTGTAATAAAGGAAAATGTCATACATACATGTACAGGTTTAGAGTTCCTCCATTTGAAGATTAAGCCAAGATGATGAAGAGGTCTGTGAAGGGTCGATCAAAGGGAGATGTTTAAAATTGGTCAGTGTTTTTGTACCAGGATGCACAAGGAGCACATCAAAATAGCCCAGTCATTCAAAAGTGACATTGGTAACCTCTTTCCATTGAGAGCATTACACCTTAATTCAAGAGACAATTTTGCCATTACTAATGCAAAATTTGACTACAGTGCTCTATAACTTTTATGTTCACTCTAATTGTCTATTTCCCATAGACATGGTGCCAATGCTGGTACCTAGCCAGATGGATTAATTCCCCCTCTGCCATCTGTCTACCCCTCTTTGGAATCTGTCTACCCCTCTTTGGAATCTGTCTACCCAAGATAATGATTTCTATGCCCAACCAACCTCCATTCAGGCCTCCCGTTGTACAGCAACAATGCCCTCCTTAGATCCATGCAAAATAAAATCCAGGCTGGTTTTGTTTGAAGTCATTTGAGCTGTTGGTTTGGGTTTCTATAATTTGAAAATACTTGTAACTGAGAAGGCACCCTCAGTGTAAACCAAAGTGTTCCCCGATAAGCTCAGTTACATTATCTTCCGAACTAAACATTTTGTGGTCAAGCACCTATAAAACGCAACTAACATCACCCTATATTTGGTGTGTCTTAGACACTAATGCATACCTCAAGGACTTACTCATGTTTGGGGACATAAAATTGCAATTGTGGAACTGAATAATGGCCCATTCCAAGGCATAACTAGGTCTTGTAACAGTAAGAAGATTGTCATAAAGTCAGATCAATATCACAGATTGGTCAACTTTAATAGTGACTCCATCGAACAGAACGAGCTGGAGATCACAAGAGCCAGTTTGGGTTAATGACCTGCTCATTAGAGCATTTTTGCACATACATGTACATGTTTTTTCATCATAGCACAAAACTTAGTGATGTACCTGCACATCGCTAGATGTACATCAGATCTAAAAACGCGTTTTTATTTCTAATGCAAGTTTTAAAACAATTGCCGACAAATACAGCTTTACAACTTGCGTGTAATTCTTGTGTGTGGGTAATACGGTGTGGTAGTTTGGGGTTTCCTTCACTGAGGCAATCCAAACTCTTTGACATTGGAGGATATACAGTAAAAAGCCTCCAAGTCTTCATAAATATTGTCATACGGTAGCTGCTAACAGAAATGCCTCAGTGGTCTCAGTTAGTACATGTAGCATATTAATTCAGCATTTGGGAATTCATACACACCATGAATTAAAGATGGGACTTGGGGTCGCCAACAATAATACAAATATTGCGGCTGTGATGACAGCTACGATTTCCCTCAGGCTAGATCACAAGTTGTACCTTTTGTGAAGGTACGATATCGGTAGTTACCATACAATGCATGAATTGCATAATACCAAGGACTATTCCCCCATATACTGGACAAATCTGGACTAAAAAGTTGCATGCAGCTCCCTTGCATCTTTCTGTTACACACCCTATGCCAGGTATGCTGTGGTCCCCAGTGATCTTGGATGAATTAACAAGTGTACTATCGCCAAGCTTCTGGCAAACAGTCAAGAAAACAGATTCCAAAGATAAATGCAAACAAACAATCCAGAGTGCTTCTGCATTGCTAGCACATGGCTGCAGTACCTGTCGCAGTGTCGCTTGTAATTGAGAGGATTATTGAATCCCACAACATATTCATCAGTTAGAATGCTCTGCTAAGTACCAGGATGTATGTGGCATACGTACATTTGCGGTATGCATCATAAACACACACTTTAGATATTGGTATTGTACAGAGATTGGATTCTGCAGACTTGGACAGTTGCCATTTACTTACATGCATATCTATTTGTAGTTAAAACACCTGCTTAGCAACAACCAGGTTACCAGCCTAACTGTCACGTACTAGTGTTTCTCTTGACCGATTCCCTGCTAATGTTGTTACACATAAATACCAGTATGTAACAGGCAATACATGTACATGTGCAGATTAATATTTTCAGGTTTGTGGCTAGGAATGTGTTAGTAAGGTCACACCTTTTGCGCCACTATTCTGTCCCATGAGCTGCACGTACTACTAAACTGATTGTATTATCGGGTCGGTTCTGAAACAGAGCTGTTGGTGCGTGAAGTTCAAGGTTAAGAAGAGAGACAGAGTGACAGATGCCTCTCTGTTCATACAGGCTACTGTACGTACTGTATGTGGGCATGTAGTGAGCTAGATACTGTGCTCGTTAATCATTTTAATAACAGTCTGGTTGTAGCAGTAGGCTATTGCCCTGAGTTTGATTTAACTTTGTAAACACATGTTATTGTCCGTTTTGTCTATTTGTCCCAATTTTAAGTACGGGTACTGTTTGGTGTTTGTAAGAATGCCCTCTGAGGTTTGCTGTATTTGTTTTTTTTTGCAAAGGTCCAATATACATGTACATACATGTACTGTACAGCAAACACCTGAAAGTTGATTTTGTACAACTGTGCAGGTTACATTACATATATTGTACATGTCCCCGTAGGAAGTTTTACACTTCATTTATTAGTTTTGTCATGATTTCAGTTTTGTACAATAACCTGAGTAGCCTTATCAAGATACAAATGAGGCCTGTTATTCTTAAGTTACAGATTTACTGGAACTTGTTACTCATATCCTACATATCGGTATACACATTGCAGCTTCCCACAGGAACTATAAGATATTACTAAAACACCAGGTGTAAGATTTGTGAGGATTTTTTACTGATTCCAAGATTTTTTGCACTAGATTTTTTCTGAATTCAGGATTTTTTTTATTTGAACAGTGTCTGTTCAAAATCTTGAATATCCTAAGTATCCTATTGAGGTATTTCTACTTATACATTTTAATTTGGAACAGAAGAAATTGGTATTGGTAAATCCTAGATCTTTGCTGCCGTCTGGCTTTCAAATCCTTCGGTAATTACTTTGTGGATATTTCATTTTACTCCAATCCCATCCCTGAAAAGCACAAATGAAGGCAAAGACACTGCTGAAGCTTATTCCCTAGATGTACATGTATACGATAGGACGTAATGCTGCTTGGCTGTGTTCCTTGAAATCTGTCCTGTTAATTTGCAAATCGTTTGAAAGCTTTTTGTCGAATACAAATTTGAAAAAAAAATGGAACAGGATATCTATCACTTTTAGTCAGTTTCCAGGAATGCAGGAAGTGTAGCAGTTGCATAAACAATACAGTTGAGGTACCATCTATTTATTTAATTGAATCCTTCTTGATTGATGAAAATATAAAAAGATCCAATGATTATCAGGTATGAGTAGGAACAACTTGCATTATTCAGTGCTTCACAATACTCCCGTCCCCCCATCCCATTTCACCAAACCACACCCACCTCCTTCTCATCCTTCATCTGCCACCATCTACCAATCAATTTACGATCCTGCTTTTCTCATTAACCTGCCTCACTCTCCTCTTAGTTTGTTTTCTTTTCACTTCACAATGTGACATTTGTCTCTACATTGACCCATTCCATTCAGTGAGATGCAGTCCTTAGAAACCTTTCTTACCAACTCAGGATGCGCTCTTCTCTCTGTAGGTAAATGTCAGCCGTCTCACTGCTGGTCTCCATTCCTAAGAGATCAAGTGTCAGTTTATCATTTAATTTATTGCTGTCATCTGTTACAAGTATGGTATCCCAGTCATGTGGTACTCTAGAATCATGTTTAGTCTGCCCATGTTGGTCCAGCAATTAATTTCATCAGTCATCATCTTTATGCAAGTTTCAAGTCTTAATTCTGATAAATGCCATCACATTAAGTTAAATGTTCACGTGGTATTAAAAAATAATTGCTGTCAATAAATGTATGGCACATGTTCCTGTGCACATTCTTTTATGGTGTCAGAAGAAATCACTAATAATTACGTAAGGTTACATGTACAAAAAATGAGTCCTAAATGTACTGGATTTTTGGTGAGATTAGGATAGTTGTCAGTAAAGAATCTGACGAATTGGAATTTCTAGATCTTTGCCAAGTTGGCAATAAGGGTTAAAATTGAAACAGAGGTTTGGTGTTCTCAAACAAGGGAGTACTAACTTGTTGTTTGTTTGAAAAAAGTTGAGGTTTGACACCCCTGAATAGACAAAATGATTTGAGGGCCATTTTGTCAGCTGTGTATCTTTTCTCATTCTCATTGGAAGTACAGGTAAAATAAAAATGTGTGGAATTTGGCAAATTTCAAGAAACATGTATTAAGGTGAATATTACCAGAGAAATTTACCTATACATGTTCTCTGTTCAGACACCTCTTGTCGTTTATTATTTGCTGTATATATCACAGAACCAAGCATGTTATGATTTCCCAGCCATCATTGGCTAAACAGATCTTCACCGGTAGTTGCTACAGTTCACGTCCGTTTCCTAGGCTTGGACAGGAAATAGAAAGACCTTAGCAAGCAAATTTCACAGCCACACCAAGTGATTGAGTCCTTCAAACAATGTAAGGGGGGTCCATGCCCAAACTTGTACCCCCTCTAGCTTTGAAATGATAGACCATTGCTCTCAATGTCAGTACTTTTCTGTTATAGCAAAACATGTGCATGTATGCCAATTTATACCCTCAAAGCACCTACATTGTACATGTTAGTTTTTATTTTTATCCTGCTGCAACCACAGTTTGAGACCGTTCTATGATTTTTTTTTTGGGGGGGGGGAAATTCCATGCACAAGTAGAGTCACAGGTCCTTATGGTTTTACATTTTATTTCAAATCTTACATGTTTGAGATGAGTACATTCGATGCTTATAAGTACTTCCATCAAAACTTCCACTAAGAATAAATTTTGATCTTCTTGTAGCATTTGGGAAAAGTTTCGGTTAATTTGAAACCCTTGTAATTGCTGGTATAGGATATCTGCTAAAAGTTTGCCAACCTGAGCGGATTGTTTTATTTTCCAAGCATTATTCCATCAAGCATTATCAAGTATTCATCAACAGTGCAAGTAACGTCTTTACCAGTCTGTTCATCAAATTGAAACTGGTTGTGTCCGGTTGCATCTGATACAAAGCATGTGTACGTGTCAGAAATACATCAGATCAGCTCCATCATCCTGCCTTCTGTGGCCTAGTTTTTCCTGTTTTTCGTCCAGGTTCCTGATAGACTGATAGCAATTGACATGTTTACCAAGGACATCTGTGCTAGAAAAAAACGTTGTCATTTTAGCCTTTAATTAATTCCCTATAGAGTTGTTTTGATTTGGTTGTTTTGTTTGTTCCTTTTGTTGCATGTGGGATTTTTTAAGAGGGTAGTTTGAATAAAACAGTAGTTATACCACAGCCATCTTGTTTGTAAAAATTTCTACGGGATTCTTTAATTGGTTTTGATAACTTAAGATTGCCAATAAACGTAAGACATGGTTTCCATCCTTTACTTTAAAATTGACAGTGATATGGGACAGTGGCATATACATGTACATCCATCATCTTTTTATGCTGTAAATGTTAAAGAAACTGAAATAGTGCATCATGGGAAATTATCCAAATTGGTCAGGGTTTAAATATTGAGTTCACTAAACTTGAGAAATAAACCGTTTGGTTTAGGAATACAAACATCTCAAGAATCTCTTACAAGGAATCCATTCTCCATTGGAAGAGAGGAGTCCTCTTGTGTAACCAGTGAATCGTAAAGTTCCAAGCAGAGGAATTCACTGTGTTTTTCCTGTTCTTTTCCTGTTTTGTAGTACATGAATGGAGGTTCCTTGAGTAATATCTTACTGGATGAGACGCTCCATCTGTCTTGGATGGTGCGTATGGGTGTTGCCAAGGATATAGCATCAGGGATGAGCTACCTTCATATGCACTCTGTTATCCACCGAGATCTGACATCGATGGTATGTCCCTGATAGTAACACAAACTAGGAGAAGAATGCCTAGGATTCATTCATCATTCATTTCTAGTTGACTGGAGAAGATTGTCTGTTGGAGGATTCCAACCCTCAATCTCTAGTTTCAGTTTCTTGCTTGAAGTTGGCAGTTAGCCAGCTTATCACTTTGTTTGTCACAAACCAAAATGGTAAGAAATGAGCCATCCTTTGGAATCAGTCCAACTCTTTTTTTAGGATTTCTTTCATGACTGTGTGACAGTCTTTTTCTTCAAAATGGAGGGCTCGCTTCACTTATGAGTCTGTAGAGAAAACCTTAACCAGACAGTGCCTGATAAAGCAATGATTTGAAAACCAGCTGGGAACCAGTGTGGTACTTGTGGTGAAGACATTGGCAGAGAGTTTGTCCTCAACCATCGTGTGACTTTGCACGCTCCTACTTCCCTTTCAGATTTCCCAACGTGGCGATGACCACATTTCCTTGAACAAAATTGGCCAGACTTCCTTACATTGAAAGCACTGAATATTCAAAACAAACAAAAGCCACCTTTATACTGAAAACCATTTGCATGAACTGGGCAAAGTTTTGATAACCATTGATGGTTGATTAACATCGTCATTGTCAAAATGAAGCGAAAAAGAAATTCCAAACAAAGTTTTTCATGGCTAAGATTACAGTCAGCGGATGTAAAAGCAGTTTATAAATAACAGAAGGATATGTCAGTGGAAGCAGAATACTAACAATAAAATGGAATTTCTTTTTAAGAAGTGGGCATGAAAAACGTAACTAACATTTCATTTTAACTGTAAACTGTTGGGTATGGCATAGTCAAAACACCTGAAAGATCAGGCTTAGTATCAGTATCCATCACGGTAAAACAAGATCAGCTTTCATATCAGTAGCGAGGGTGATTTGTCCTGACTGAGGCACCCAAAGTGTATTTGAAAGTTTTAGCCTATTTTCAGTTTTGCTTTGTGTTGTTTTTTTTCTGTATTCAGATGCTTGGAAGGTCCCCCTTTGCAAAGTTTGTATGCTCTGGCTTTCTTACTGCAGGAATTTCAAGCAATCTTTGAAATCGCATTTTCTGTTCTCTTCTAGAACTGCCTCATTAAAAAAGCTAGTAATGGTGCCATGCATACTGTGGTCGCAGACCTAGGACTGGCAGCGAGAATACCCAGGTACGTAGGTCACAGGTCAACCAGTGAGGTCAGGTCTACTAGAGGTCAGGTCATAAACACAAACACTAAGGCCAGCGAGTTTAGCTGACCTGTCAAAAGTTGGTTGCATGATGTATAAACCGAGGGAGTTACTTAGTTGACTTTTCTCAGTGGTTTGACACTTTGAATCATTTTTGGAATTATTTGAGTTATGAACGAATATTCTCATCATTGTGCAGGAGATTGTCCTGGTATTCAGTGAATCTCAGTATATGTTAAGAATATGCATAAACCAGAATAAACTGATTCCCCCCTCTCCTTTTAATGTGAAAAATGCTAGCCAATCATTTTACTTGTACTTTCCTGGTGTGCATTGTCCACTGTCAAAGGAGGAATGTTTGTGAACCAGTGGAAAGCAGGTTCCCTCACACTCACAGGGCCCTCTTTTGTTTGTGTACAGAGTGCATACTTCTTAGACCCATCACCTTTAAAGCCATCTTTAGAAGCAAATGTTGGGCAAATAATCATTTTCTCAAAATTGATTGAAAGAATTAGTTTTTATCCTACTTTGTGAGAGTATTTTTTTCCCTTCCCATCCAGAGATCCATCAGAGAAGTTACAAACTGTTGGGACGCCATTCTGGGTGTCACCGGAAAACCTCAGCGGGAAATTCTACACGGAAAAAGTAAGGAGGAACCGTACACTCATTACTGAAGCACTATCTTGGCACTGTTTAAAACTTTCACTCTGATTCTACAAAAACCGCTAGCACATTTCAGAGGTTCTGGGAAGGTAACAGTTTAAGGTATTGCTTGTGATTGTGTATAGTCCTGTGAAATAGCACCACCCCTTTTCATGTGTTCTAGAGGCTGCTTTCACCCATCGTAAAGCTTTCTCCCATAATTTAAGTGTTCTTTTCATCCTATCATCCTTTTTTCCCAGACGGATTTATTTTCCTTTGGGATCATCTTGTGTGAGATCATAGCCAGAGTGACTGCAAACCCGGATGAACTTCCCAGATTACATGTAAGTTGAAAACACTCCATATTTAGTTTTATATTTGTATTAAAATCAAGGATTCCTCAAATTTGCAAATATTGTCGCAGTTTATAAGAGAATGCAACATTAGTTATTAGAAAAAAGGAGGGAACATTAGGGAAAAGATCTTGATAAGCCCCATAGATGGACAGTGACAGTTTGTTGCTTTTATTTACATGTGTTTATTTATTTATTTATTTCTGATGACCAACAGCAGTATAACCGCCACTTGCAGGCATCCATGAGAAATAGATGAAATCTCTGAATTGAATAATGTACAAATAAATTATACAAATAACCATAAAATTAATAAAAATTAAAACACTGACCTTCCAAACTTGGCACATTCTTAAGACATCAGCACAGGGCTGAAAAAGAGTAGGATATGCATGGACAGACAAACAGGGCTCAGTAGAGAAACACAAAAGGAAAGGGGTGGGGGCAATAGAGTGGGAAGGAGGGGAAGGGCAAAAGGATAAACAGCACATGAACATGGAACATGGGGTGTGGGAACAAAGAATGGAGGCAAGGGGGATAAACCACAAGGGATTAACATTGGGGAGACCAGAGAGGATAAAGATCAAAGGAAGCAGAATTTGAAGTTGAATAGTGGAATTGTGAGGGTTAAAGAGGGATTCTATGTACATCTGATGTGTACGTGGATGTACTTTATGACTTCTTCAGCAGCATTAATTTGGGAGGAAACACGGAAGACATTTCAATTTTAGAGCCTGGAGCAATGCTTTAAAGGCAGTCAACTAATGTAAACCTGCTCTTTGAGTTGACCGACTATTGTAATTGACATGAAAGCAGCTGTGGATGGAATGAAACCTCGGTCATCAGGGAGAGATGGCAAGACAAGAAATGCTCTACCCACCTGACTCAAATTGTGTTCATGATACGTTGTCATCAGTGGTGGATTACATGTACATGGGAATGAGCAAGACACACACCAGACTGAATGACATGGATGAACCTGTCATTAACCTTTTAGAAGCATGGTGACATAAGAAAAGGGCGCTGTTTGAAGTGGGTGAATTTGGAGTTAACACAAAAGATTTGATCCCTAACTAAATAGCGCCCTCCCATGTGCCCCCCATGCCTCAAATGGGCCAATTATCTTCCATTTAAATCACATGGTTATTTTTGTTCTACAGAATTTTGGACTAGACATGGAAGCATTCCGTACGCTAAGTGGTAACTGCCCAGAACAGTTTCTCCTTCTTGCTTTCAGCTGCAGCAACGTAAGTAAAATGAACCTGGAGCTGAACCAAGAGATGGGGCAATTTTTTTATCAACGGAGGCTCCTCTGGTCAGAACCGAATTTCACAGGTTCATGAAAGGCATGCATCGTGGTCGTTTGGCTAGCTACAGAATGAACATTCCAGACCAAAATGGCTGTTTTCAACTGATGAGGGGGTGCTTCTGCTCAAGGCAGATTATGTGATATTTTTCGTCACCATCTGAAGTGTTTCCCTTGAGGAGCTGGGAGTGGCTGCATCGGATGTCTGTCCTTTGAAAGATGAATCAATTGTCACACATTTTGTGAAACTTTCCTAGGCATAGCATTCTCATTTGATGCATTGTACTAAACTTTTTTCATTAATTCTGTTTAGTTTGTGGAAATGCATTTCTGTACTTTTGTTCTGCTAAGGCTGCAATTTTCAGTGGATAATTTCCCCATTTTTCATACTGTTCGATATTTCCATTTCCTTTGTTACCTCCAATCAGGACATCAGTAGTTATGTTTACCACTTCTACAAATGAAGTTGATTCTTTGCAGTGAAGGGCACTGAGAACACTCTGGGTTGGTGCTTCATTGAACTAGTTCTGAAATTGTTTGCAGGAAGAATCAAGTTGGCGTACTGACTGAATACAGATTAAATTTGTACATGGGAGCTGGAATTATTGACCCGTTACAATAGTACATTTACAGAATGGTCTTGTAATTTCATCAAGTATTCTTATCTATCCAGGATAAATGGAAACATCATTCCAGTTTGAAACAAAGTAACCAAGCTACATCTCCTACGGACTCAAGTGGCATGTTTTATGACTTCCTGTTTTGCCAATATGTATGGTTTTTAGATGGAACCCAGCAAGCGGCCGGCTTTTACAGAAGTTGTGCTGAGTATCAGGAACATAGAAACTGATTACAACAGACACAGCAAACGAGCTCCATCGCTGTCAGGTAAGCCTGACTGATCCAGTCTAGGAAACTCTCAGGTTTAGCTTTTACCTGGCTTTTTACTCTGCTTTTTTATTTTTGATTTTTTGGGTGGAATTTATTATTTTTGTAATCAAAACCCAGATGTACATGTAACCTGCTCAAGATTGTGTGTCGTGCATTATTTATCACTGTTGTTTCATTTATCAATCACGAGCCTGGTGAAACATTGATGCAACGAAACCGGTACCTTCCCTGTGGTTTCAGTTTGAGTTCCTGTAAATATTTCCAAATTCTTGTCTTGACACTGTCCATACGTTGTTTGAAATTGTCTAGAACCCATGTAACTGCAGTCAGGAAGTCACAGCTACTTTCCATCTTCAGAAAGTGCCTGACTGACGTTCATCTTTTTATACCCTCTGCTGACCTTTCTCATTCTTTTCCATTTTATGTATTCTGTTGATGACTTGTACCTAGGTCGTATGAGATCGCAGTCAACCCTTGTTGCATCCTACCCATCCCAGACTGTACCAGACGCTAAGCCCACCCCGATTCGATCGCCCCGCAATTCCATCATCCGTAGCAACTCAGACTCCGGGTCCCGACCACGAAAGATAAGTGTCTCCAAGAAGTGGGTCAATCCCTTTGACACACCCCATTTGAAGAATGGCCGGACGAAACTCATTGAGGGGATGTCATCGACAGCTCTTTATGAACTACCAGGAGAGATCTTGGATTCTCTTCAAGCAATGCTCCAAGAGGATGAAGATGAGGAAGCTGAGGCTGCCAAGGAGGAATTGGAGAGATGTGTGAGGCAAAGATCCAAATCTCTGCCCAACTCTCCTGTCATCCATCGGCAAGAACTCAAACTAGACGAGAACACAAACTATGTACACTCTAACATGGACATCAGGGATAGGATGACTGTTGCTGACCGACGGAAAACTCTTTCACCAGGGTTTGTCCCCCCAGATTGGCTTGGCCGGATGGGCCGGGCTAGGAGTAAAACTGCTTCTGAGTTGAGCAATCTTAAAAGTGACCCAGGCCTGGGATCTCTCGGTGAGGACAAACTGGGCTTGAAAGGCAAGGAGAATCAAATCACTGAAGCATCTGAAGATGCCTAGCTTTGAATCTTGACTTGAGCCCAGTGTGCAGTTGGCTGACATCTGTGAATAGGACAGCAGTATTTGAGTATTAAATCCTCATTCTACTCAGTAAGATTCTACCCACCTTCCACTATGCCTACATATTCTATACAAGTATTGACAATATTTTCAGCATTTATAGATGTTTAGTGTCAGCTTTGCTTTTTCCTCCGACGTGTATCAGTGGGCTGGTTTCGTGAAAGGATCTCAGGCTAAGGATTTCTTGAAATATGTCAGGTTGGGATTTGGCCCAGGATCAGAATGTTACAGGCAGTTAAATTAGAACTACTGGTAATTAATTTTTAAATTGGATATGTGCAAGACACATGTCTGTACTTCCCAAGGTGTGGCCAGACAAAAAAGGTTCAATATACAAAGATGTTAATTTCCAGACCCGCTTTTGTTGAATTTATTTTCCTCCAAAAATAAACCTAGTCCAGGAAAGAAGAAGCGAGCATCAATCTGTGATGGGAAAAAGGCAGCCATATTGGCAGAAAAGGCAGCCATATTGGCAGAAAAGGCAGCCATATTGGCAGAAAACCCAGCCATATTGGCAGAAAACCCAGCCATATTGGCAGAAAACCCAGCCATATTGGCAGAAAACCCAGCCATATTGGCAGAAAACCCAGCCATATTGGCAGAAAACCCAGCTGTCATCAATGCAATGATTTGGAAAGGGAGGTAAATTAACCCTCTTATAAAGGAACAGGATGTGTTTTTCAAATTCAAGTATATAGTTATATTTTATAGTTTATAGTTATATATGGGGGGGGTGGGCTTTGTATGCTTGCTTACTACTCCTTCGAGTCTGATCCCCTTACATTGGTTGGCCAAAGAAAATGAAAAAAGTTCAAATTCTAGTCGGGCATTCTTTGAAAGGAAAACAAACCAAACGTCAGCTTTTTTTTCCTGAAATATGAACGGGTCAAAACCAATATCTATGCCACTTGTGACATGTATTTAGGTTCATGTACAGAAGTTTTTGTATTAATTGTGGACTTGATCATGGGAATTTCATCGTGGACAAAATCACTGAGCCATTAGATGGCTTTCTGCCAGTGATGACTTCAGGCTAAGTTCTCAAATCTGTATTAAATACACTTTCAGAGATTTGACAAAGAAGCTGTTGAACTTGTAGCACTGTTGCCAGTTGCCCTGATTATAAGTAGAGTTTTCCAGCTTCCAAGAAATCTTTATTTTCTAGATTGTTTAGCCCAAACTCATGGTGAATTCTATTTAATGTAGGACATTTTGGCAGAAAAAAAATGGAATTTTGTAAAACGCGTGATTTCTTCCAATTTGAGATATGTTCGTTCCTGTACATTAATTCGTTATATTGTTGCAGTCGTGTTATAATTACTTCATACATACATGTACATGTATCTGCTTGTAAACAGAAGAACATTACTGTCATTGTGTGTTAAGTTGGTGTTAGATTAATGATATCAACATGTAGATATGCATGTTATGACATGGAGAATAGATCTGTAACATTATGACATCTAGCTTTGTGTACATGTACGTTTGCCTGTAGCAGTGAGATAGGACGTGATCCACTGAGGGCTCCCATAGGAAAGTGCATATGTAAACAAAGTGTGACATCAGGTGTGTTGGATTGAATAAGTGATGATTATATTCACTGATAATTGTACTGGTCATTGGTCAGGGTGTCTGTGGCGGTGGCGTATACGGGGGGGGGAGTTCTTTCACCCCCCCCCAGGAAATTTTTGAGGTTTTGGGTGAGCAGGAAAGAAAGTACTGTGGGTCTATTTATTTGTCAAATATTAGTACCTAATCCCTTAAAAAACCCACACCAGCAAATAAAAGCAAGGATGTCAGACTGTGAGAAAGGCTTCTGATTTCTTTCCCTTCCAACATCATGTTGAATCAGCCTGAAGCCCCATTTGCTTTGAATTTGCCCCCCGCCCCCACCAAAAGCTGGATACGCTGCTGGTCTGTGGTCGTGTATTGGTCGTGGTGTCAGTGGTCATGGTATTGGTCAGTGTGTCATTACGTCTTACCTCATGCCAAGGAAAGTAAAAAGTGACAAGGCAATTTTTACAGCTTTCACATGTCATTGCTATACCTCAAGGTTGTACAACTTGTCTTGGGCTGATTTTTGTAACCGTTGTACTACTGTTATTATTAAGTGACTTAATTTGACTTAAGATACTGTTTGGTGAAGAGTTTGTTATCTTGAGGAGATTTTTCCACTGTTTTAGAAACCAAGTCCAAAACGAAAGGAAAAGTTAAATGTTTGTTATTTCCTTTTGCAATATGTTTAATGTATTATTTTGCAATATTAATTTACTTTGATTGTGCTTGTGTGGTAAGCATACGTGTTAAATTTCATAGGAATTTATTGGTGTTCAGGTTTTTCGTTTAGTTTTGTTTTGCCATTACACAGTAAAATACTTAAGTTTTTGGTAAGTTTTACCAGCTCTCATCAAGATATAGAAATACATTAAATGTAAATCTGTGTCTTGATGATAGATCACACTCTCCAGTTGATCAGTTGTTTAAAGTACTTCAAGGAATGTTTTTTCTGTTTAAAAATGTGAACCTCGGGTTTATTTTCAACTCATTATGCAAACCGAAGAATAGAAAGTTAGATACTAAGTGTACCAATGCAGGGTTTTTTCAAATGCAGAATTTCTTAATTTGCTGTTGATGATAGTAGTAGAATTGATCAGGGGGTTCAGACCAGGAATTTTTTGGGGTGGGGGGCTGCTCAACACTTTAAGAAGATGCATAATGCGTTTAGCATAGATCTGGTTCTATCTTTCTAATCTAATCTAATGTGTTGCTAGACGTAGCAGAAATCAAGTATTGGCAATCGTTTAAATCTGAGTATTAGAGAGTTTGAAGAGAACCTCCTTTGAGAAAATAACTTTTGCCCTGAAGTGATTACTCTTATTATTAATTTGTTGATGAGTTTTGCACATTTTGATGTGGGTAAATAGTTCTTTCTACAATTGATTTACGAGAATGTCGTAGACCATTATGTAGTTCTTACCCTCTATTTGAATAATTTTGAATTTTCTGTTTACTTTATACATTGTCGGTCTTATATAAAGGCGATGTTGAATCCTTATAGAAGCCAGAGACGACGAGAAGTATTTGAAAGCCCCAAGGGAAGTTGATGTTGCTGTCACAGGGAGTTTTCGAGGAAAAGAAATCTCACGAAATAGTTTACCTCCTCAGAAAAGGCGCATACACTGGACAGAAATAAATTTGGTACGTTTAAAATTTTTTTAAGACATGGAAATCAAACGGATTGTTAAAACACAGTTCAAGAGGGGGAATATCGCAGGCGGGAAACATGCAATTTTTTTTTAAGTCCACCTGTATGATTGTGTGAAATGAGACTTTTAGGCATTTTCTTCCAAAAATTGTGTGTAATTATAACTATTTTGCCTTTTTTGGTGTGGAAAATTATATCGAATTGAATCTGTCTGTATTATGTTAATTTGTTTGGAATTGCTTGTAAAAAAGTATACTTGTACGATAAGAGCCGCATGAAAACAAATGTATAATTATCATGTAAACCATGTACAGACTATAGAAAAATATAAAACGATATTGATTTGATTAGTACTGTGTTTTGGAATGATTTAAATAATTATATTTTTCTCATGTTACTACAGACGTTAAAGGAAAATAAACAGATTACCAAAACGTAACTTGGAGATGGCTTTGTTTTCAAACTACGTCTTGCTTGGCAGCTTTCGAGTCAACTCGTACCTTGGGCGACTCGTACCTTGGGCGACTCGTACCTTGCTTGGACGACTTGCTCCATGGGCAGCTCGCCCGTAAGCATGCCCGTATACATGGACAAACACTGCAGAAGAAAGTGTTGTAATTGATTGGCTGGAGGTGAATTATCCAAAACCTGTGGAATAGGTTTTCCTCTTTTATTACTCAAATAACGGCATCGATGTCATTACGTAACTCATCGAAATCGCTTTCCAACAGTAGGCCTGGCCTCCTTGCCTGCACAGCGGTAAGTAACAAAATGTACAATGGGCCTTTAGAAGGATAAATCAGGTGGGTTTTCTTCTGAGACTGAATTCCAACGAGTATGTTGTATGTGCCAACATGACGCAATTTGCGTGAAAATTGGCAGTGGCTAAGTGGAATGCCGAGCAGTTAGTTTGCCATCGTCATTGAAGCAGGTATGGTAGGTGATATTTGGGGGGGGGGACCCAGTTCATTTCTTGGTCTGAGTCCACCACCAGGGTATTTCAGCGGCAAGCGTCAGACTGATGTGACCGGCTGACGAACTATGTCGTGGAGAAAAGTTCCGCAACTGCTGAGTTGCATCTTCAATGGCATTCCTGCGTCTTTGATCTCGAATTTAATCTTTGAAATTATTTAGTGTTTCTCTTTCTAGGATTTGACGTGGTGATCACTTCTTCACTTCACTTTATTTTCCATGTATTATCAAGAGATGCAACATGCAATGATACATATTTAGTTGATGGATGGAGACCCCCAAGAAGCATTACTTGTCGAGCAGAGGATCCATAAGTATTTTAGACAACACTACAAGAACTCCAAACATTATTACTAATTAACTACAAGAAATAAAGTGCACAAATAAATAATATGCAAACAGTAATATGTAGGCTCTAACCGTGTGGTATATAACTTAATTGTTAGATAAATAGTTATTGAATATTTTATATTTATATATAATTTACGCTTAAACATAGCGGAACTGGCAATGTACCACGTGGAGAAAGGTTCCGTAACTGTTTATTTGCATCTTCAATGCCATTCCTGCCCCTTTGATCACAAAATTAATCTTTGAAATTATTTAGTATTTCTCTTTATAGGATTTGAGATGGTTATCGTTGGATTTTTTCTCTTAAACGATCACGGTGGAGTGTACTTGCAGAAAGACACGCCTAGGACAGGCCATCTGTTTTGCCTGTTTCATGGCGGCTCAACTTCTTAATTGCGAGTCACCGTTTTGTGTAGTACTCCAGAACTCTGGGGTTCGTCGTCCGCCGATCCCCACCGATCTGAGGAGATGTTTTTGCGCATTTTCATCGTACATCAACAGAAATATTCCTCTTTGAAAGTGCTCCACATAGTGACGCCGCTTGACACTCTTTGAACTAGCCCGAGACTTGGGGCCAGTCTAATAGGATACGAAGGGAGTCCATGGCCCCCTGTCAATCTTGGGCTACCTTTGAGCAAACCCTATGAGAATGGTCTGAAAATTTTCAAGTGTGTTCTCAGTAAAATACTTGGTATTAGCCCTCCTAAATTGAACTTTTCTGGACATGTTTTTGTTATCTGACGGCTAAAAAGTCACTTGTAGGAAATAATTACTGGCGTCCGTACATTAAACTCTTCCCTTTCTTCTTTATTGACGCTAATAATTGGATTTTACCCGGTCTATATTCCTAACTATGAGACGCTTGCATCTCTGCTTTGTAGCGCGTGTTCTGTTTCTTCAACCTGAATGACGTTCCACGATGCTGGATGGTAGCAGTTGGCAAGTTGCGAATTCTGACAGGCAAAATAATAGTTTTCAGTGGCTGGTGTCGGAGTCTCGAAACAAAACCCCATAACGGCGTGCATCCTCCCGATAGGCCTGCTTAAACACCAAGAACATACACGTGGCATTAAAGATTACTTTATGAGCTGTTCTGCCCGCGTCAAAAACATGGTTAAAGATGACTAAAAGTATAGTTATAAATAATAATATTCGATTTATCTTGGAAATATTCAAAAGATATTCACGAGATAATGGAGCTTTTCAGAAATGTTTCCAATGGTTTTGGTATACAGCTGTTCCGGGTTCATTTTGGCCTTTACCATGCTTGTTTTTATCTTTACTGCCGGTTCCGCCACTACTTCATCGTTTGTTTCTCCAGTGAATTTCAATACACGAGCCTGGTCGTAAAATAAAGTTCTTTATCCACAGTCGATGTTGCAGTGATGAGCACCGTGGCTGGAGTGGTTCTTCGGCAGAGATGTCACTGTCTTTGCCTGGCGGGATTGGTGGTTGGATTCGTGGTGCTGTGTGTGTTTTACCTCCACGTGCAAGGTATGGCAATCAAGCTGCATTCCCAGCCGTTCTGTTTGACAGTCTGCAAATTGGTTTTTTCCCTTAATTAATCGTGAATTAGTGCAATCAGAATTTGCATTCTTATCGTTAAAGTAAAAGCCTTTTTATCATTAGCAGATTCTAACGTCGCCACCCACCCATACAAACACACTTTTGATGATGAGGAACTGTTGTTGATGTCTCTGGAAGCCACTGAAGGCATGACAGCAACAATCGACCATTTCAACGGCACAGTTTATTCGGGACCGTCCAAACAGGATGCAAACTCAAATCATTCTCAGGTATGACCGTTGCTTGGAACTTTTAAATATCCCCTGAATTTAGGAACACTGCCAAATCTACCTCAACGATCTGTAACATCATGGAAAAGTTATTTTGTTTCCGACCCATAACGTTGTTTTTCAGTAGGCCTTGATATCGGTAATTTTGCTTGACGTAAGCGGACTTCTTCTTCTTTGTTTTTAGCCAAGACGTGGACAAATTGAAGTGCCTTCACCACAAGCAAACCAACAAAACACTACCTTGTATCGTTTCAAACACTGGAAAGAAACTCAACAAAGTAGGGTGAAGACCATCCGGGATGTTTGCTTGAAGCAACACGGCGAATTACCATCCAATCAGGGCACTCTTGGGAAACCCCACCCACAGTTGTCAACCAATCGCACTTCAACTTTAACTTCGAGAACTTTAAAGCACATCTTCGTGTCTGACAAGCATCGTTTCATGTACTGTTACATCCCAAAAGTCGCCTCCACTAGTTGGAAACGTGTCATGATGTTTCTGAATGACAATCAACTGAATATCGACGACATTCCTGCCAGAGAAGCCCACTCGCGAAACCGCTTGAAAACTCTTATAAACTTCCCTCTGAAGGAGAGAGCATGGCGGCTGAGAACCTACAAGAAATTTATGTTCGTCAGGAACCCAGTTTCGCGTATTGTTTCGGCGTATCGTAACAAGTTTGAAAATCTGGAGGTGTATCGTAAGGCGACTCTAATTGGCATACGCCGCTACGGGAAGTATATTGTGAACAAGTATCGACGAAACGCTACGTTGAGCGAAATACAGACGGGTGAAAATGTCACATGGTCTGAATGGATTGAGTATCTGACCAATCAGGCCGAAGAATCCAACTTTTTCGATCACTGGATGCAAATGAGCAAGTTGTGTAGCCCGTGCAACGTCAGCTACGACTTCATTGGTAAATTGGAAACATTCAGTGACGATGCTGATTACATCATGAATGTGTTGAATTTGACTGACGTCATTGTAAATTTTCCTGGGCGGGAAAACAGTCACCCAACGAACAGCTCGATCGATGTGGCCAAGTCGTACTTTGAACAAGTCTCCAAAAGAAAACGACGAGCTCTTTGGAACATTTATGAGCCTGACTTCCAAATGTTCGGATATGAAAAGCCGGATTTCTTAGACTGATTTAAATGTTTTAAATTTGGTAGAAATACAGACACAGGGTGTCAGAGCCGGAAAGAGAGTGTTTAGTGGCCACAAAACTGGTTGATTATGAAAAAGACGGCATAAAGGACTGTTCATTCTTACCTGCGAGTGCAGCATATACATGTACATGTATAAGGTTTTTGTTCCTGCGAGGCTTATGTCAGACAATATACCCAAATTCTCTATTTAGCTCTCTTTTGATTATCTGTTTAATTTTTATTCTTAGTATTACTGGTCTAATTTTAGTTTTTGGCCATTTCCTTTGTTTTTTACGTCCTTTTTGATTGTAACTTTTAACTAAAGTTGGCTTCATATTTATATATACATGTATTCACACACATCTCCTTGATCCTTTTCCATAGTTTAGTACAAACCTTTTTTTCCTTCAATCCTCATAGCCCTGTATTACCCACCTCAATTTCTAAATTACATTTTTACGCTTTTCATTCGTTGTGTATTAATGTTTGTATACCATACCATTTATTTATATGCGTGTATATATTTGTTATTTGATTTTATGGAGCACCTTGGTGTGGAGCATCAGGTCTGCGGTCCACAGTATTTTTTACTTTTGGTGCCCCATGCCTATCCGTGTGTCTCTTTTTTCTTTTTGTGGCCGAATGATAATACTAATAACTGGAGGTCATCTGTCTGTCTGCCGACAGAACAGAGGGCTTTTCGCATTTCTTTGTTAATAATTTGAACAATCGATCTACTGTACAAACCTGATGGCGTAATTACCTCATCAAGATCATTTGGGTCCAAGGTTTCAACCCAATCAGGCATGCACTTCAGCAAACAGCGTGCTTTAAATATTGTCTTTGTTTTTCTTCAAATACTTGGTTTCATCTACGTCTGCGTTTCGCCTTACTTTTTAGACCCTGACTTCGAAGTTCTTAGCGAATTAATGAGTCATATCTTGCTTCCGAAAACACCCAACTGCACGCTGTCAACCCCAATTTTTAAATTTTTCTGTTTACTTTGTATGGTGTCGGTCTTATATAAAGGCAATGTTGAATCCCTAGAAGCCAGAGACGAAGGCAAATATTTGAAAGCCCAAAAGTTACTGATAATAGTAGTGTTGATTCAGATGAAGATGCATTGGCATTCGACTTGAAAATTGTGTTTTCAACCCTAGCGATTTAAATCCAGATGGTACAAATTCTTGTCTCTTTAAAACTCAGAGTATGTCATTTGTAGTCAACTAAGAGCTCAAAGCTACAACTGCCATATGCGCTATATATGCATGACTCTATTACAATTTTCCACACAATGTAAGGAGTATTCATAAAAATCACAACGAGCTCTTTTTACTGTTAAAAGAATCCAAATTATTGGAAAAACAGAAACATAGCTTAAAACACCACCTGATTCCCTTTCTTGATCAACAGTTACAAATGTGAGTATAAAACAGACAAGATCAGATTGGGGGTGGTGTTATGCTGTACGTGAAGGATTCCCTCGATTAAATTGTAAGATCCGATATATCTGGCTCTGAAAATGAAAGAAAAAAATGCAGACGTCATAATAGGTTTAATCTACAGACCACCTTGCCAAAGTGTTTCAAATTTCATAGATGGAAGCAATTATTGAGAAGATATCTTCAGAAAACAAAACGTGTTATTTGCTTAGGGATTTTAATATAGATTTGCTGAAGTTTGAAACTCACAATCAAACACTCAAGCTACTAAGTTTATTGTACTCTTTTACTTTTCGTCCACTCATTGATAAACCAACTTGGATTACATCCAGTACTGCAACCCTGATCGATACTGTTTTCACCAATGATATTGCTTTACATAAATTTGAAATAATATTATCAGATGTAAGTGATCACTTGCCTATTGTTACATTTGGCTCATGCATTACAAAGAAAATGAATACAACTACATCATACTATTAGAAAAGGAACACATCTGAGCAGAATATTCGCACCTTTATAAGACAAGTTGAATCAGTTGACTGGAATTCGGTTGTTACTACAAATGACGCTAACGACTGTTACTCTAAATTTATCAAAAACTTGACTCTTTATATGATAGGTGTGTTCCATACAAGAAGTTCAAAACCAAAAATACTTCCAGTTCCTGGCTTTCAAAGGAATAAATCAATACGGTGAGGTGTAAGCACAATATTTGTATAAAAGAAAAACTGTAACTTCGTTGGAAAAAGAAACGAATAACATAAAGAATACTTTGAAAATTATTAACTTAGCCCTAAAAAAGAAAAACGACGAAGTCAAGTGCTACCAACTACGGTATTTCAGCGTCATTAATAACACCGTTAATCAACCACAGTCTATCGCAGAATGTTTTAATGAGTTCTTCACTAGCATTGGACCCAAACTGGCATCCACAATTCCCCGTGCAGTGATACTGATCCTGTTGATTATATTATAGATAATTACCCTCACTCCTTCTTTCTAACTCCGATCACCAGAGATGAACTAAGACTGATTAATAATTCAGGTTATAGATCACACTGGACCTCTGTTCCAATGTCTCACTATCTTTAATATCTACAAATTTCACTTGGGCGTTTTGATATATAAACTTGAGCGCCAGATCCTTCCAACGGCCATACAGACATGTTTACTTTAAACAGTTCAATCCATAATACAAGATTGTCATCCAAGTTTCACATCTTTAGTGCACGAACAAGTTTCTCTAAATCAACTGTAAGATATACCAAAGCTTGATTTTATGGAATAGCTTAAGCTGCCTATCCCCCAACACGTACCGTTTATCAATTCAAGAAAAATGTTATGAGTTTTTTACCAGTGATTTCAACTCATAAATATGCATGGTACTATTTACATGTATTACTTGAGACCTAAACCAACTCGATGTATTTGTATTGTATTGAGACAATTTAATGTAACTTATATTTTGTCACAAACCTGTAGAAATATGACGGTTTCACAATAGTGCACCACTAAGAGTTTGCAACGCGTTGGCCAATCACAATGCGCAAAATTTGTCGACCCAATGCGCGTTTGGAAAGGGCCGAAAAATTTCGCGCGTTATGATTGGCCATTGTGTTGCAAACTCTTGTTGGCGCACTATTGTGAATCGCCCGTATTGAATATTCATCGTAAGACTGGGTGCTGCGTCTCGTATAGGCCTCGGCTTTTTTCCAAGCATCCTACATCTTCGTTTATTGTATATGAATTGATATCGTAACATTGTGTACCTTGTTACTCTGAATTTATTTTCATTTTTCATCTACCTGCAATGTTAACGAAGATGTGAAATAAACCAAACCAAAGGGAACAATTTACAACTTGATGTCGCCTTCACAGGGAATTTCGAGGAAACCGTAAATCTCACGAAACATTTACCTCCTCAGAAAATGGGTATACACTGGGACAGAAACAAATTTGATATGTTTAAAATTTTCCAAGAATAAAAATCAAAGGGATTGTTAAAACACAGTTCAAGAAGGGGAATATCGCAGGAAACATGCGATTTTTAGTCCGAGTGTGTGATTGAGTGAAATTAGACTTTTAGGCATTTTTCTTCCAAAGATTGTGTGTAATTGTAACTATTTTGTGCCTTTTTGGCTCGGATGATTATATCGAATTGAATCTGTCTGTATTATGTTAATTTGTTTGGAATTGCTTGTAAAAAAAGTATACTTGTACGATAAGAGTCGCATGAAAACAAATGCATAATTATCATGTAAACCATGTACAGACTATAGAAAAATATAAAACGATATTGATTTGATTAGTACTGTGTTTTGGAATGATTTAAATAATTATATTTTCTCATGTTACTACAGACGCAAAAGGAAAATAAACAAAGTACGAAAACCTAACTTTAGGAGGTTTGGTTTGTTTTCCAACTTCGTCTTGCGTGTACCAACTTATTAACGTCATTTGAAGCAAGAAATGAGATGGAGAGAACCCCCCCTGCTTTGTGTTGGTTATTGTCTCACTGGAATCTGAGGAATTCTCTTCAGACATCGGGGGGGGATGTGTTAAGTAGGAAGAGTTCAGAGTGTGTATAGCGATTGGACGTGTGGGGGGGGGTACCCCTCGGTCGCATTTCTGGATATAATTAACGTTGCTGGAAATGCCCTTAAAGACAAACACAGGAGAAGAATACGTTGTAATGATTGGCTTCAGGTGAATTAAGCAGAACCTGTGGAATGCGTTTACCTCTTTTATTACTCAAATAACGGCATCAATGTCATTACGTAACTCGTCTCGTTTCAACAATAGACCTGGCCTCCTTGCTTGGATGAAGTCAGCAGTAAGTAACGTGATGCGCGATGGGTCTTTTGAAGGATGAATCCGAGTGTGTCTTCCTTGTGCCTGAATTCGACTTGAGTATGTGTAAGTGCCAACATGGCGCAATTGGAGTGAAAATTGGCAGTGGCCAAGTAGAATGTTGAGCAGTTAGTTTGCGATTGTCATCGATGCAGGTATGGTAGGTGATAGTTTTGGTGACTCAGTTAATTTCTTTGACTTGGTTAACGAGAAGTCCACCACCAGGAAATTTAAAGTGGCAGGGTTCCGATTAACATAACAAGCTGGCGAGGCATTCATTTATAATGTACTATACATATACCTTGGAGGAAGGTTCCGTAACTATGTAGGCCTATACTTACACCTTCAATGGCAATCCTGACTCTTTGATCACAAAATTAATCATTGAAATTATTTTAGTGTTACTATTGGGATAGAATTGTGGTGGTGATCATAGGATTTTTCTCTGACTTGAATTGTACTTGCACAAAGACACTCCTAGGACAAGCCATCTGTTTTCCCTGTTTCGTGGTGGCTCAACTTCAAAATGATGCGAGTCACTGTTTGTGTAGTTCTCCAGAACCCTGGGGTTTGTCGTCCGTCGAACCCCACCGGGCTAGTGCTTGTTTGGTGAACATTTTTATCGCGTACTCAAGAGAAATATTCCTGTTTGAACGAGTTCCATATACGTACGCCGCTTGATACACTGTGAAAAAACCCTATGAGGCTGGTCTGAAAAATTCCAAGTGTTTCTCTTTGTAAGTAAACTACTTGGTATTTTCTCTCCTAAATTGAACTTTTCCGGGCATGTTTTTGCTTTCTGATGGCTAATAAATCACTTATAGGAAATAATTACTGGCGTCCGTACATTGAACTCTTCCCTTTCTTTTTTATTGATGCTAATAATTGGATTTTACCCGGTCTATATTCCTAACTATGAGACGCTTGCATCTCTGCTTTGTAGCGCGTGTTCAGTTTCTTCAACCTGAATGACGTTCCACGGATGCTGGATGGTAGCAGTTGGCAAGTTGTGAATTCTGACAGGCAAAATAATAGTTTTCAGTGGCTGGTGTCGACGAAACCCCACAATGGAGTTCATCCCTCCGAATAGGCCTATCTAGGATAATTTATTTATCCTTGTATTTTAAACACCAAGAACATACACGTGGCATCAAAACTACTTCATGAGCTGTTTAACCCGCGCCAAAAACATAGTTAAAGATCACTAAAAATATAATTCTAAATAAAATATATTCGATGTATCTTGGAAATATTCAAAAGATATTCAAGAGATTATTGAGCTTTTCAGAAATGTTTCCCATGGTTTTGGTATACAGTTGTTCAGGCTTCATCTTTGGCCTTTACCATGTTTTATCTTTCCTGCCAGTTCCACCACTAATACATCGTTTGTTTGTTACTGTCTTTCTCCAGTAAATGTCAATACACAAGCCTGGTCGTAAAATAAAGTTCTACATCCACAGTCGACGTTTGCAGTGATGAGCACCGTGGCTGGAGTGGTTCTTCGGCAGAAATGTTACTGTCTTTGCCTAGCGGGATGGGTGGTTGGATTCGTGGTGCTGTGTGTGTTTCACCTCCACGTGCAAGGTATGGCAATCGGGCTGTATGCCAAACCATTTTGTCTGTCAGTCTGCAAATAAGATTTTACCCCCTTAATCAGGAAAAAGTACACAACAGAATTTGCATTATTCTTGATAAAATAAAGGACTTTGTATTATTGACAGATTCTAACGTCGAGACCCACCGATACAAACACACTTTTGATGATGAGGAACTGTTGTTGATGTCTCTGGAAGCCACTGAAGGCATGACAGCAACAATCGACCATTTCAACGGCACAGTTTATTCGGGACCGTCCAAACAGGATGCAAACTCAAATCATTCTGTGGTATGACCGTTGTCTGGAATTTATATCCCTTGAATTTGCGAAAACTGCCGAATACTTCAAAAATAAATCATCTACCTCACGATCTGTAACATCATGGAAAAGTTATTTTGTTTCTGGCCCATAAGGTTGCTTTTGAGTAGGCCTTGATGTCAATATTTTTGCCTGGCATAACCAGATTTCTTCTTCTTCGTTTTTTCAGCCAAGACGTGGAGAAATTGAAGTGCCTTCATCACAAGCAAACCAACAAAACACTACCTTGTATCGTTTCAAACTCTGGAAAGAAATTCAACAAAGAAGGGTGAAGACCATCCGGGATGTTTGCTTGAAGCAACACGGCGAATTATCATCCAATCAGGGCACTCTTGGGAAACCCCACCCACAGTTGTCAACCAATCACACTTCGACTTTAACTTTGAGAACTTTAAGGCACATCTTCGTGTCTGACAAGCATCGTTTCATGTACTGTTACATCCCCAAAGTGGGCTGCAGTAATTGGAAACGTGTCATGATGTTTCTGAAAAACAATCAACTGAATATCGACGACATTTCTTCCAGAGAAGCGCACTCGCAAAACGGCCTGAAAACTCTTAGAAACTTCTCTCCGAAGGAAAGAGCATGGCGGCTGAGAACCTACAAGAAATTTATGTTCGTCAGGAACCCAGTTTCGCGTATTGTTTCGGTGTATCGTAACAAGTTTGAAAATTTGGAGGTGTATCGTGATGCGCCTCTGTATGGCATACGTCGCTACGGGAAGTATATTGTGAAGAAGTATCGACGAAACGCTACGTTGAGCGAAGTACAGACGGGTGAAAACGTCACATGGTCTGAATGGATTGCGTATCTGACCAATCAGGCCGAAGAATCCAACTTTGGTGATCATTGGATGCAAATGAGCAAGATATGTAGCCCATGCGACGTCAGCTACGACTTCATTGGTAAATTGGAAACATTTAGTGACGATGCTGATTACATCATGAATGTGTTGAATTTGACTGACGTCATTGTTAATTTTCCTGGGCGGGAAAATAGTCACCCAACGAACAGCTCGATCGATGTGGCCAAGTCGTACTTTGAACAAGTCTCCAAAAGAAAACGACGAGCTCTTTGGAACATTTATAAGCTTGACTTCCAAATGTTGGGATATGAAAAGCCGGATTTCTTGTTTTAACTTTGGTAGAAATACAGACACAGGGTGTCAGAGCCAGCCGGAAAAGAGTATTTAAGGGGACGACATTTGTTGTTTATTAAAAAAAAGACTGCGTAAAGGACATGATTTCAATTTATTCATTTTTGCCTGCGAGTACTGCATATATGTATAAGGTTTTTCTTCCTGTGAGGTTTATATTGACATGTTACTTAAATTTGCAGCATAATCTCTACATGTATTGGGATCAATGATCACAAAAGGACGTGGGTTGATTCTGCGTGACGATTAACGCACGTGTACCAGTTAAAGAAAGTAAACTAATCTTAATAGTTGAATCATATTAAATTAAGATACAAAAGAAATTCAAAACGATAAAATCGTGGATTTTAAATAAGATTGTATTGATTTTGCAGCCGTTAGAAGGCAGGAGTTTACGGGAGCGAATAAGTGAAGACATTGCACATTGCAGTTGGCATGTACACGTTTGAATTTTGTGTAAGTTATTTTTAAAATTTTTTTTAACAAAACACGTAATTAATCAGCGAGGGTAAATTTATTTTCATTTTTCACTAGGCCTAATAATGGATTTAAAAAGGCGAGTACAATGTGAATTTTTAAAGAGCAGCAGCAGCAATGCTACTGTGGGGGCACAACAACTTTCACGTTGAGGGCGCATTCTAGTAGATGAAGCGTCTGGTTAATTCTTGACAATGAGGGCGGCATATAATAACAAAACCGTGGCACGAGCTTTTAGGAACTACGATTCGATAGTGATAGTTCGAAGAATGGTCTGCGATTGCAGGTAATTCGAGCTAAAAAAATTGTCCTTATCAAAGGCTGCATATTGTTAAGTTATGGGACAGGGGGCTAAGTACCACGAGTGCTTCTTTGGTTGGTGTCAAATTTGTATTGATAGAGAAGGCCATGAAGGACGGATAAGGTTGCACTACACCAAATACGCGGTCACAGAAAGCAGTGCAAAATCGGACCGAAATAGCGCCGCCTGTTGACTCTCGTGAAGAGGTTGGCCTCCGTTTTTTATTGGAACTTCAAGATTATGGCCAGAGGACCACTTTTCATTTCAATTTCATGGGGGTAGCCGCGGATTATCATTTTTATTCGCCTTTCAAGGAAGACACCCGCAAAACAGCAGTAAAACTAAGCACTCATTTCTGATTGTAGCTACCTGCCTCTATCCAAAATATGCCTGCAATTTGGGGCTTTTTGTTAAAGAAATACCCCGTACTGGAAACTATCAGTCCCAAATTTGGGATTTGGGAATATTTCTATGATGCCTTCTGATTATGGCTTGTCTTATTGTAAAAATCCCGTGGGATCACAAAATATGAATGAGCTTGAGCACAAAAATACAACCATTTGGTGGAATGCACCCTTTACATTGACGTACATGTAGGCCTAGTCCTCTCTCACTAGCTTACTAGTACTATCAGGGCCAAGAAGGATTTTAATTTAGGATACATGCATGTAGGGAGATTGTAGGCCTATCCAATGCTAATACGTAGAAAAGCTCAATTCAGGAGAAGGATGTTTGTCATTACCTATTGTTTGTAAAGTACACTGTAGTCAATCATCATCATGCCATGGTGCTCATTTATCTGTTATTGAAGAGCTATAGGCCTATGCAAATAAGGCATCTACGAAAAACCTGAGTTGAGTTATAAACTACTTTTTTTTCAGATGCAGCCAGACTGAGAGTGTTGAGCTCCATAATTCTAATTTAACTTTATTCTGTCATAGATATATGGGTCATTCTGTAAACTTGGGGTCTGATGCGTGACATTCTCCCATCCCAGTTATTCCTGACATGTCATGCATGTATACTTTGACAACGGATCACTGAAATTGATTTCAAACTATTGTTATTTGTTTGGCAGGTAATTTGCAGTACTTATTCAGTCTTAGAAATGAAACATTGCATTTTCAACATTAAAAAAATCATATGCCAAGCGTAGCAGGAATTGGAAACAATTGGACCCCCAAAGTTTTAGAATGACCCATATTTGGATTGCATTTTTCACACTCTCTCTTGACTGTACATGCACCAGAGTCTTACTTTCAACTTGCGTTTTCTCACTGTCTACCCCAATGCCAGGTGAGATGGCACATCAGAGACTTCAAGCTCAATGGCAGAGACTTGTTGCATTCAATCAGTGCCAGGATTCCGTTCAGAGTAATGAGTGGTGGATACGATTACGAAATCATTACAGTGAGGGCGCTAGACAGTACCACACCCTTGAGCATATCGATAACATGTTTAGCCTGTATGAGGAGAACAGGAAGAAGCTAACGTCAGCAGAGGAAGTTGGATGGGCCATCGTTTTCCATGAGTGAGTGTCGACTTGTTTGCTGCCCTCGTAGTTCTTGGACAAATTCAGTTTGGGGTAGCATAACAAAGTACAGGCACATCACACTTGAGTCGGGCACATCACACAAGTTTGAGGTGTTGCATCTTAATGAATAGTTGCATTATCATGATTTTTCTTGTTTGATTTCATGCCATCAAACTTCCATTTTTTTTTAGTGAAAAATATTATGTAATACCCAGCTTGTTAATCTTTCCCTTCACTTCAGATGTCACTGTCTGGGTCCACTTTTCCCTTTTCTCAAAATCAAACCCATGTAACTTTAAAGCATCCTTTAAAGTGCTTCTGGAGAACATCTCATTTCTCCAGTCCAATCCAAACATGTCAAATATTCCACCGTTCTCTTATTCTGCCCTAATCATGCCCCCAAATAAATTTCTTGTAGGTGAAATATCAAGAGTTGACCTACATTCCTTTTTATCCTTGTGTGTGAAATTTTCCTTCAACCTTTCTTCCGTGCTCACAGCGTCATCTACAACCCCAAAGCTAGGGACAACGAAGACCAAAGTGCAGAACTTTTCCAGACATTTGCCAGCGAGTGCCTGCCAGAGAGTCCAAGTTCCATGACCCAGCGAGTCAAGGAACTGATCCTCATGACAAAAACTCACCACACGGAGGCACATCAAGTCCCAAACATGTGAGGATGTAATTCATAGGAATAATTGCTCTCTTCTAATATGATTACTGTAATAATGACTTGGAGCAGTACTTGGAAGACATGTTGTTACAGTGCATTTGGTTTCTTTGCCCTTAGGTCATAGTCAAGACCTACTTAGAATATTGCAAGATCTCACAAGACCTCTACTCTGAGTTCAAGCTATTCAAATGAGCTGTGGTAGAAGTATTTGGTTGTTGTTCTTCACCCTGTTTCTTTGTGTCTGGTCTTGTAGTATCTTCAACTACATCATTTTAATGTCATTATCTGAATGATTCTGCCGGCTTTTCCCCAGATCATCATTCCAATTTCTCAGGATTCTCCTAATCTGAGTATTCCTTCAGTCACATTCTTTAGTTACCATTTTTTTGGTGAAGTGCAGAAAGTCTGTATTTTAAAAATTCATTTAGAAGGTCCTTGTTATTGCTTTGGCCAGGTATGGCGAAGGAGATGAGCATTACTTCCTAGATTTTGACATGCAAGTTCTGGGATGGTCTAGCGACGATTATGATGTTTATGCTCAGCAGATAAGACAAGAGTACATCCATGTACCAGAGCAATTCTACTGCTCTGCTAGAGCACAGGTGGTCTTTATGTAGTCATTATTTTGTTGATTAAACTATCGAGAATTAATCGAACTGTGATATTGAAATCGCTGAACGAACAGTATCTTCTTAGGGCTTGCAATCAGAAAAGTAACCTCAAATACATTTTGTATTGACATTATTTTCAAACTTTGATATTCTTAACTGAAGCGCTTTGTGTGAATGTGAGGAAATGTTCCATCAGATCTTCTTTATAAGAAAGATCAAGATTTTTCCTGAAAGGTACAAATAACAAGTGAAACCTACATGTACATGTACCCCAAAACAGTGCACAAGCTAAATAAATTACACAGCACTTTACAGAAAGCTGTTTTTGACTTGTACAGATTTCTTTTTGTCACAGGTTTTGAGGACATTTCTCAAGACGGCAAACATCTATGCCACGAGAGAATTCCGTGACTTGTACGAGGTGCAAGCAAGGGCCAATATTGAGAGGGAAATAGAAAGGCTTGAGGGCAGCTAAAACAATTCAAATAGAGAGAATGATGCTGAAAGAATTGACTTGTCATGGGAAAGACAGGTGCAAGAGTGAAAAGAGACAAAATATGGTACACAGAACATTGCCTGAAAAGTGATCCACACTTAGGACATCATCTTGATCCAGTTTATCATTAAAACATATCGAGTGGACAACCTGGTGACCAGGCAGAAGGGTAAAGTGGAGAGTTTTACAGGTTGTAAGCCAATTGACAGGTTAAAGCCAATTTACAAGTTGTATGCCAATTTAGACGTGTTTGGGGGCCAATTTATGTCAGATAATAAAATTTGAAGTTGTGCCTTAAATATTTTCTAATTGCTTTTTTATTAAAGATGGGCAAACTTGCCTGAACACAGGAGAATATATTTTATATGAAAATAAAGTCAACACTTCAATTAGTTTTTGTTTCTGTGTCTTTATTGGTCTGAAAACTCAAATATTCTTCTTTAAACACTGTTATGGTCCTTTCTGTGTATTTCAAATTGTGGAAGGAACGTGACCATGTTAGAAATTGTCTCTGAAACTTGGTTTCAACGAAAACGTGGAAAAAAGAATTTTCGTAGGTCTCAAAAAAATCAAGAGGCCACTGGATTTCTCAAAAACTAGGAAACTACAACTAACACCCTTGCATCTTCCTGCACAATCAAATCAGAGCAAATATTTTGCATTGAACGTGCTTTGCACTAAGAAAAAATAAATCCAACTGTAAATAAATGCCATAAATTTGAATGACAAATGGAAATTAAATTGTTCATGAAAAATCTTGATTTTCAGATGCTTCTGCCAACTTGAAATTTAACACCACGAAATTGTGCCACCACAATCAGCTGCAATAGATGCAAGGAAAGCTTTATGCACGAACAAACATTTAGCATGAATAAATGTGCTTCATGCATGAAGAAACAAGGCAGCTATAGCATAATAGTGTGTATGTCCAAAAACAAAAACTGCATAGCTATTTTTATGAAACCTAAAGCATGATCCTGATGCACTTCATTGATGAGTACCTTTGAGGCTTAATGTGATTCAGTTTCAGAATCCAGGGTTTTCTTTATTTTTAACTGGATAATTTTCTGCTGGTATTTAATGAGATCAGAACGACACTGATTGGAATGCAACTAAACACAAAAACTAACCTTTTGCTCAAAATCACTGACGCGCAAGATTCAAGACTGAAGCAGTTGATGACTTTCAGTATTCATTATCAGCTCTCCCCCCCCTTCTGACAAGATCAAACAGAACTACAGACGCCATCTTGTCTTATTAATCTGAATGATCACTTCTTGCCGAGATGAAGTCCTTCCTCTATAACTTAGCCGGAGGGATGTTCTTCATCAGCGACTCCAGCTTCATGGCTTTCATCAGGTCTCCGTCCATCTTCAGCTTCCCTGACATGAAAGCTGCCGTGGGTTTAAGCTCTCCTTTGAACATCTTGACGAAGTCGACGGAATCCATCCTCATAGTGACGTCGGGGGAGCCCTCTGGTGGTGTCCCACTGCCTGCACTACCTGCGCCATTCTTGAGGTCCAAGTACCACTGACCTGCTTCATCACCTGAAAAATATCATCATTTGGGAGACAAACTTATATCAGTTCCTGAGAAGATGTGGCAGACGCGTGCAATTTCAAATAATATTGCAATATCTAAAAATATATGGGTAAGTAAAATAAAAACTGCTTGTCTTATTCACGGTCGTTACCAATTACCTGCACTAATCCTTTTTTCTTGAAAGCATCTGTTATATATTCAAGCTTCACTAATACATGAGTACAAATAGTACTAAAACAAAGAATGTTTCAAATGAAGAGACACATTTTCTTTTTTGGAAAATAGAATCAGGAAACGATAGTGAGAGTAGCATACCTACCTTTCAATTCAAACTGATAGACTGCCTTTGTGCTAGCCACATAAGTTTCTCCTAGCAATCCTTGAATACTCTCAAACACTTTAGCGACCTGGTTCCCAGCAGCTCCTGAGGATGCCGGCTTGCTACCAGCTTGCTCCATTTTTTTCCTGACAGCCACCGGGTCCTCGTCAGGAAGGAAGAAATCTGGAAGGAGGTCATGGCCTGTGAAAGAAAAGGAGTTGTGGGGAAGGAAAAACAGTAGACAGATTGTTTTATTTGCTGTGATCAGGGAGTGATCTCATTGGATGTTCTGAATGAGGACTTCTGATTTCGGTGAAAATGGTACATGCTCTGGCTGGTTAGCGAGCTACATTGGCTGGTTAGCGAGCTACATTGGCTGGTTAGCGAGCTACATTGGCTGCTTAGCCAGCTACATTGGCTGCTTAGCCAGCTACATTGGCTGCTTAGCAGCAAGGTTCACTAGCTGGTCAGCCCAAACTCAACCATGATGATTCTAGCTCAGATTACAGGGTCTGCAAGGTCCAACAGGTTGGTCTTTCGAGTTTTACTTATTTACATTCAAACATACACAAACATGGAATGTTTGATGTCACTGTGTATCAAGAACTAGCCAATCAGCTAACAGGTAAGACGGCAATTTCATGACGTAGAGCAACCAACATAATTAAATAAGCCTCGAAGGCATAGTTTGACCGGACATAAAGGCATCTATGTGACCCGCTCCACGAAAAAGGGTATGAAAGGATGCTGTTCTATTTCACACTGAGGGCTTTTTTATGTGGACAGGGTGATTTTTTTACTTCTTGGTTTATTGGCTTCTACTATATCAGTACTTTCATAATTCATCCAACAAACCGAAGTATTGTTATGGTATCAAGAGACGTTCTTCTTGGCTGATTTCTTTTCTCACTTCCTGTGTTTAAAGGGCTTTATCTCTGAGAGCAATTCTGTTAATGTGTATGATATGACTGTGCAAAAATCAATATATCTCCAGATTGCAAAATGCCACAGGGTTCAAACCTACACCAAATGAAATATAATGAAACCAATTCAAATGTGTATGTGACTCATTTTGAAAAAATGTCCCACAATACCCATTTTTGTGGCGCTGGTCACATAAGATCAGTGTGCATGAAATGGCGTATGTGTGGACTGATAGGGCAGACAATCGCACGTGTGTTGGTGTTCCTGTATGACCTCAGACACGCTTCAATTTAGGTGTGCCCTGTTAGAATACCAAACTGCCCATCTTTCTTACCCAGTTCACAGGCATACTGGTCCAAATCAGTTACCCCTGCCTCCTTCAAGACGTCTTCATCCATGGCAAAGTTACCCGTGTAGGATCTGCTGTCTTTTGTCAGGATGGCGTAGGCTGCATCAGCAATGATGTCTGGTGTCCGACACTGCTTCCTAAGAGCATCCTCACCACCCCCCAGCATGTTCATGGCTGCAGTCCAGATGGCTGATGGGTAATGCCACAATGGAGAATCTTAGCGTCAGTTAACTCAAACATCATACGGTATTGATGTATGTTCAGACCATGCAGGACGCAGATAATTACAAAAACCTTTGACAACTGAAGGCTCAAGGCTGTCACATTATCATTAATTTCTCTTCAAAATAAACAGTGCATTTGATTCATCCCAAATTTCATAATAAATGTTGTACTCTTCCAAATAACGTTTTCAATTATAACAAATAATTTTAGGACAAAGCGGCATTTAAAAGGAGTGCACAATCTTTTATCATGTCAGCGTAAATATTTTGTGAATTGAATTCTTACCTGTTCTTGGCCAAAGCGCATTGACCGCTATACCATCAGATTGAAACTCATCCGCCATTCCCAACACACACATGGACATACCGTACTTTGCGATGGAATAGGCTATGTAAAATAAAAACATATTCAAGTTGGCTTTTCTGTCACAGCTGTAAATGGTTCCACAAAAATTGGGGGCAAAGATTGTCACCAGCTGGTTAAACTTGCTTTTTATGCTGTCAAGATGTACTGTATGGAGTGGTTTATGCGGCACGTCCCAATATGAAAAAAATGAAGTGTGCTCTGCAGTACTGATTCAAAATTCCAGTCTTACGTTACGTTTTACACTTTTAAAGCATTTTAGCGACAGTTTGTTTTCTGGATGAGCGTCATGAACATTTCAAGCAAAGTGTATGAAGTACTTTTTTGAGTTACAGGGATATTTTTGTACACTAAGCCAAGGTATTGTTTTGGAAGGAATGGTGTACCTCTTTGAGATAACAAGAGTTCTGACTTCACCGACTTTGAGTGATTGAGATCGACTGATATCAGGCCCATTTCTCTATAAAACCTAATTGTTTCCACATAAATTTCCAGGCCAGTTTTTACGTTCAAGTGGAGAAACCTGTGCTGTTGTCTGAAGAAATAGCAAGCTTGCCTAGATTGGTCAATCCACCCTATTACATTGAGACTTCCGCTCGGTATCACTTTCCAGAATATACTCACCCACATGACCCCGGAACCACTTGGACTGCATGCTGAGTGGTGGACTCAGGTTCAAGATGTGGGGGTTATTACTCTCCTTGAGATAGGGTATACATGTTCTGGATCTGTGAAAAAGTATGAGAAAGTACAAAGATGATTACCCATTTTCAGTTTTAAATTTTGTGATTTGTTGAAACTAGGTGCTTGATCAAATTGAATCTTACACCATGTATGTCCCTCTTGTGTTGATATTGTTCATCAGGTCGTATCTCTTCATGGGAGTTTCCAATGTTCCTGTCAGTGAGATAGCACTGGCATTGTTGATGAGAATATCAATTCCACCGAAGGCCTTGACAGCTTCCTCTACGGCTGACTTGACCTGGTCTTCATGCTGGATGTCGACGACACAGGGTAGGCACTTACCACCAGCGTCCTCCACTACAAGAACCAAAACCAAATCGCTTGCATTATTCAAACTGCATACTTATTTTCAATTTTAAGCCTACCTTTCTGTAGTGTATACATTTCTTTTAGGATGTGCAAAATGACTTCATGTTAAAATGCAATGAAGACATGAAGAAAGAATTGAAGCCCTTGCTTTAGTCATGCACATGTAGATTATCACATATGAATGCCTACCTTATTTGACTATTAAAAGATATAAAATGTTAAGCAGGTTATCGCTAATGACACTGACGGCAAATCAGACCCAGGACTATACTACCTCAACTGCTAATAAACAGACTTCTGTGAAGACCTACCCTCTTTTGCAGCTGTGTAGATGGTTCCTGGTAGCTTTGGATGAGGCTCGGCTGTCTTGGCAGCAATGACGATGTTGGCACCATCTCGAGCTGCTTTCACAGCAATAGCTTTACCAATGCCACGGCTGGCACCAGTGATGAACAGGGTACGCCCGGCAAGTTTCCTACAAGTAGAAACCAGGCAGGTGCCCTAATGACAGAATTACTCAATAACACTGTACTCTGCAGGTGTGACCAACCAACCAACTTGCTAATATCTTTGCTGTAATTGAGGGAATAATGATGTGCTCGGTCAGTGCGGCTCAGGTATCACTTGTGTCCACTCTCCTGAGCTCGTCTTAAACATTAGTTCAAGACTGGCCAAGCACAAGTTAATTCCCATTCATAAATACCTTTTTAAGTCTGAGAGTCAAAAGAAATCAATATATTTTGTAATGGATTTCCACGATTTTGTTCCAGAATTTTACTTTCAGTTTCCCGAAAACCTCCATCCATTTTATGATATATTCCTAGTGCAAGTTGTCCAAAAGAATCTCCTTATATGGAATTGGTGTGTACATGAACTCGGTGGGCAACCTGCACATACACTCCTAAACAATCAGAATCGATTAAATTGTCTCATGTCCAGGTGTCAGCACGTGATTTACACAGCAAGCATTATCACTTCTCAGTGGGCATTATCAAATGTTAACACACAGTCAATTGGTACATTATTGAATAGGGATACTGAGGTATTTATGAAGGGTCATTTAAGTTTCTGGCATTGTACCATTCCTGAAACAAAGAATATGAAGAAAGCAAAAACAACCAGTTCTACTCTCAGGAATGCTTGTGTACAACAATTAATCACCAATATGTGTAAGCTTTTCTGGCAACCATAGTCTGATTGGGGGCTGTACTTAATCTCTAAAAACACAATACATACCCACTATTTTTATGCATGGTCAGAGTTGTCTAGTGGTACCTTCATGTGCATCCCTTGAAATGAATTGGGGTATCACTTGATTCAGTGTGTAACAATGGTTATTGCTATAGGGTTTATCTTCACTCAACTAAGGCCTGCCTTATCAGCAGGGTCTATAGATTATTCTGTTGACCAGTCACAGGGACTGCATTAAACAACCAATCTGTAAATTATGCAAACACTGACGTTAAGACTGGCAGGACAACAGCAACATCCATGGATATTTCCACTCTTTGAGGCCTTCCTAATCCTTGTTTTTCCTCCTATTCACAAAAGGTCTTATTGGTTATCTGCTGATGCCCAGTGTAAAAGAATTAACATTAACATCTGTGTTGGTAATGTCGCCATGTCCCTATAGTTTGCTAACCATTAGACAGAACGGTTGCATCAACCTACATGTATGCCTTAATCACTTGTGATCTAAGTGTAAATATTTAATGCCAAGTAGCTTGCCTTCCAGTCTACTCATGAGAACAGATTCTTTGATGTTATGCGTTATGGGCTATTTACCCACTGTGCCCCTTTTACGCATGTCCGTCTGTAAAATGTTTTTAACTATTCATGAGACGAAATGTAGCATGTCCATTCAAGTAGATCTTATCTAAGCCAGTGACTGGTATGCTATGATCTTTTTGTTTTGTTCCATCCATAGCTAGCATTTTCAAAGTAAAATCTTATTTAAATACACATTAATCAATTTGCAGTGGTGACTTTACGTTCAGCAAAACTCTGTCACCTGACCCAATTAGGACAACTGGTGAATGCATGTACTTTCAATGAGCTGGAACTAAGGATCTCCATGATAAAACAAAATGCTGCAATGTGTACAGAACCATAATAGCATGATGTGTACTGTATGGTTTAAATGACAGAGGGCAGTGGTGAACAATGTATCGGCAATTACTCAATGAAGTGTGTTACTCTTGAGCATATTTAGCATAAATTTAAGTTCATTTATCAATTGATTACTAGTTACTAATGTATGCATCTCTTTGTGTGATAGACATAAAGAAATATAAAAGATTTATGTTCCAAAAATCCACCCTGTACAAAGTATTTAAACTTCTCCTTTACCCCTTTACTAATGGAAATTTGTTTCCTTGACTGTTCTTTTTTTGGTATTAGTTTCCCAAAGAAAAAAAAAACACTTTTATTCCATGTGGACAGGTTGCTGTTTTGTGAATGAAAATGGCTCCATCCACATCAGTGCATGTGACTCATTATAATTGGGCTTTATAACAAATACCTTCAAACCCTTTGGTTTTTATTTTTTTTGGGGGGGTTCCATTTTATTAAACTTTTGCTTTTCAAACAAAGGGACATGCAGTTGTGAACAGTGGTTGATTGTCCAGGTCATGGCCTGATTCAGCTATAATTACAAGACAGAGGACAGAGAGTAAAAAAAGTAAAATAACTGAAGGTACAGCTGAATCTCAGAATTAAACAAAGACCTTCAAACTCATATGTACAACCACCAAGCAACCAAAATTCGCCACCTAAATATGGCTAATCTGGATTTGTTGTTAGAATGGCATCATCTTGACTAGGAAGAATGAACGATGTCCAATGGAGGCAGACTTTATCAAGGTACTTTGAGTCTTTGTAATAAACTGAAGAGGAAACAAAAAAAAAAACTAAAACTTAAATAAAAATTTGGGTTTGGGTGGCAAATATACCAACACAGATTTTTTTTATGTCATCTTCAATAAGGGTAAAGCTCTGATCAGTGACAGCACTGCTTTCCATGGTGACCCTCAGATTTGCAGCATGGGTCAAAGGCTTACAAGGGCGCCTCAGGCAGCCGTCAAACGGCCCACATCTGAAGAGAGGAGACTAGTACTAGTAGTATGAGAAGCAGTTACAGTTTTAGAGGTGGGAGGAAAACCCAGGAGAATATTCTGGGTAAAATCCACGGAATCAAGTAGGGACTGAAAACCAAGATGGACCGAGCTGGAAATCAAACGGTAGACGGAAAAGGAGAACACGTAGAACGACATGCATCATATGCATACTATGCTCAGGACGCATGAAATACGTACTGTGCACTTTCTGAGCATGATATGCCTATGACGCACCATGTTCTACGTGTTCTCCTCTGCCATCTAACGAATCAAACCTGAGCCGCAGAGGTGGAAGGTGAGGAAAGAACCACTATGCCAACCTGTTGTTTCCTTCCTCCATGCCCTAACTCAGTGCTGGTAAAAAATCCTTTAAAACGGTTACGACTTTTTCCAACAAAATTGCCAGGAAGGGTTCTATACGGACGTAATTATTCCCTATAGTGACCTATCCACTCCTAGTGGAACAAAAGAGGGCATTTTTTTTAGTACTCACTGCATAGGCACATGTTTATAATGGGATCAATGGTGCGTTTGATGAGGCGCACACTGAGTACGCGTAATGAATTTATTCCTTAATGATTGGTCTTGGCATGATACACACGGAATGTGTACAAGAACCCGCTTGGAAAACAGGATACCATCTGTCTTTCTTTTGCCACTTTTAGGTGCATTTCAATATGTTCGACTCGGGGCATATTGCATAAGCCTTCAAAAAGCAAAAACATGTCCAGAAATGTTCAATTTATTTAGGAGGGCAAAAACCAAGTCGTTTACTTAAAAAACACTTTTTGAGAACAGTCTCGTAGGGTTTGTGCACAGGGTGTCAAGTGGCGTTAGTATGTGGAACTCTTTCCAAATCGTCTTAGCCAACTTCAATTGCTTCAATTAATCCCTGAATAATGAATTTTATTGGAGATAAACGTATATTTGCAACCATACGTATGAAGCCAAACCACGATGGTTGTGTTTGTGTTGCGCATGCCCAATGTGTATTAGACTCGCATTGCCGCCGTTTATCGGTATATCAACAGTAAAAACGCCATCAATTTGTGTGAATTGCGGTAGTCAAGCGGTTACGGCATAATGGTTTGTGATGCATGGGGTGTGGGTTCGAATCACGGGTCGGAATTGTGGTCAGGGAGGTTTTTTTTTAAGGAAAATAAAGCCCGAATGTTACTGGAGCCTTATTTCACACGTGAAGTTTTTACGGTTGGTTAAGCATCTAGATGTCATGCATTGTGCATGGTTGTGAGCCGTGGTTTGGCTTAATACATGTACGTGTGATTACCGGTACATATTTAGCTCTATTATTGCCCACACCAAAAAAGGAGGGCGCCCCCACCTTTTTCATTGCCGTCGCCGCGTATTGGACGTGTTTTAACAGCATTAAAAAATGGGCATTAACGAACAGGCTATAAAAATGGATTTATGACATGACAAACGCATCTCATCTTTTCAAGAAAACCTCAAAATAAATATTATTGCATAGTAATCACGATAGTTAAAATAGCGAATTCTTATAACCCTCCTAAAACTTCGAAATTGGCGTTTATTGAAAACTAACTCACCCTGCGTTCAGCATGATTTCGACTGCTGAGTGTGTCAAAGGTCACTGTACCCTGGCGTTTCCCTGGTACTCTGCGAACTATCCGCCGTCAAAGACCGCTAATTACTTTACGAGACAGATAGAGGAAACCAGCTAACGCCCGAGTTAAGCCAAAAATCTGATGTGACGCGACCGAACGGAAGGTTTGGTTCATTTTATTGTTGAAAAGTTATACGTGCATAGAATTTCCAGATTTCCCACTTTAATTGAATTTTGGGATCTCCCTTGGGCGCTTTGGGGTATATGTTTAAGATCTAGGTGCTGTGGAGGTACTAAAATGTTGGTAAATGTTTGAATCTGGCGTGAATAAACAGTGTTGTTGTTGTTTAGATTTTTGTTATAAATTGTTATAAATTGATTTATGAAATTCTACATGACTTTGCTAAACATGCTGAAAATAGGCCGGATTCCACTCTGAAAAATTTTTAACAGTCACATATCAAACTAATTTCGTAAATGTCTGCTTACGATTTGAACAATTTGTCTCTCTTTGACTGAATTATACAAATGCTATGAATATTTACATGATTTATTTATAGGCCTAAGCCTACGTGGTTGGCAGGCTTCGGGAATTTGACAATGACAGAATTTTTTGACAGTTCAAAATTTCAAATGTAAATTATGCCAATGTCCAAGAAGCCCCTGCTAAAAATTGAAATTCAGGAACTGGAACGAGATGACAATAGGCAAAGTTCATTGCACAGTTGCTTTTGTAATATGTTTTAATGCTGTTCTAGATATGACATCAGTTCCAGGGATTGTTTTACTACAATTGTCGGTTGTCAAATCGTGTTCTTAATTTTACTTATTTTTGACTGTTTCGGTTTTGTCATGTTTTACATTAAAATGGCAGCTTCGAAAGATTTTACAAACGGAATTTGTGAATTTCCTTATTAGTTTAGAACAATGATAACTTGCATAATAACAGCAAAGATAAGTTACATGTAGCTGTCCGGATGAACACCGGCATTTTACTATATTGTGAAATTTGCACCAAGTAGCCTGTGTTATTTGTACTATTAATTTTCAAAAGTTAATGAGACAATTCAGAGAAATAGTGACAATGTCTGACAGACAAAACTAGATTTGAATGTGAAATCAGTGTCCAAAAGTTTAGTCTGAAAAGTTTGGTCTGCCATTGATAAGGACCACAAGCATTGAGTGTTGCACACTTCAGTTCACCAGTGTTTGTTTTATTTTTTGGGGGGGGCTGATGATATGTGTTTGAAGGATAATGGCAGGTGACATTGTTAACAATAGGTTCAGGTTAGTGATTTTTACGCATTAATTACTACATGTAGTAGCAAATAAACCCCATTTCAGAATTGATATCACATTCAAGTGTATGTAAATGTACGTCCAATATTATAACCAAGAGTTTACCATTTGTTTCCCATATGTACAAACTGTTTGATTTGACCAGTTTTGGAAATTTCCTGACCAAAGTCTCTTGGGGGTCAGGTTCATATGAATTATATTTCAGTTTTATGTAGTTGGTGTTGAAACAAGCATTTTCGCAAAACAGTTGAAAGATTTTTAGTTACTTTTGCAGACGTTATCTACTTTTTTTGTCAGTAATCAAGGTCAGATGAGCTGTAACATGCAGTGTGTCATCTACTGTTGTTAAGCTTTATACAATACATGTATTGATCCTAGCCATCTGGTTGGTGGGTCATTGATCGCGTCATTTATTTATTCATTCTATTTAACGGGTGCCAGTGAATAGAACAAATATTTCATTTAAATGGACTTGGCTGGTTCCCTCTCCTATTTCACACATTTCAATTTTAGAAAGAAAGAAGAAAATACAGTAGTGACTGGAACCAGTCTAATATTGCATGAAACCACCCTAGGGTAGAGCTTCAGACATGAATCTCTTCTGCAAAATGAGGGACCTTAATACATGAAGACTGTTAATTTGTTCTAACGAGAGGATTTGTACAGGTATTGTGTAAAACAAGTGGTATTTCACATTCATGCAATGGTAAGAATTGCTTTCAGTGACAGATGAAGTTATTAACCTTGCATTTATAAACACTCATTATTAGTATAAAATGAAATGTTTGACAGTAGTGTCTTATGGTAATTTCAACCACTGTTGGCTGTACAACTGGCATATTTTGTTTTTTCTGACAGTTTTAGTTTTATATTTTGCCATTTTTTCATACAACATTTCAAATATCCTTTTAATTTGTAGACGGGTAGGGATGACTCACCTGTGATTGCCAGTGGTAATCCATCAAACAGAAGACTTGGATTAACATATCAGCTATGAGTCGAGCCATGAATCCCAGTACGGATCTTCCTTTGATGGCCAACAGTGACGTCATCAGGGTGCGTCACTACGTTTTGGACCTTGCCGTCCATTTTGAGATGCATACCTTCTCTGGTAGTGTCACACTATTCCTGGAGCAACCTCAAGACAAGCGGGAAGGTGAAAGCATTTCTGGACGTCGAAATGGCCGCTTGGACAGCAAAGGAAGCTACGCCACCGATTCCAAGGGTAATTTTGTTTTGATCCTTGACAGCTGTGACATCACTGTGGAGTCAGCACATGAGATCATATCCAACAAATCTTCAAGGAAAGATTCCTCCTCGTCACAGAGTACAGGCCGGAAGGACAGACGCCTGTCGTCCACCTCCGGTAACTTGGAAGCAACTCAGAACTCCTCCCGAGTCAGTCCAGAGAATGGAGACTATCAGGAGGATGGTTCCTCAAGTCGTCTGGGCCAGGCTTTGCAGTTCAGCATGGAGCCTTGGTGCCTGAAGGTCTGGAAAGAAGGAGTTAGAAGTCCTGAGGATTTCCCCGGAGCCGTCTTAATCAAATATAGCACCAAGTCACAAGGGAGATCACTGATGTGGGCTTATGACCAGGCCGGCAAGTAAGACGAACAATTTATTATGTAATTATAGCCAAATTATGGTCCACAAAATGGACTGTTCGTTGGTCTGGTGCTGTCTTCAGAAGGTCCCCAGAGAAGACTGGACAAATTTTAGTCGGTAACTCTCGGGACCTTCTCAGGACTACGTACACATTGACCCAATTAAAGAAATTAACCTTGCTTTCCTTATCCAAACAATTCCACCATAAAGCGCCTCAAGGCTTACTCAGAAATTCCTTGTTATTTAAAGGCAAGTTAATGCATGTGGGAATAAACCCTCTTGTAGCTCACGAGTGCCACATTTTACCAAACTTTGCCTATCGTGGCAATGTATGTACATGTAGCTTGCTCAAGCATGTGTAAATTACTCATTTCACGAACATTCTATTTCTCGTACCTGTTTTTCTAGACCGGAATCTTGCATGTTGTCCTCCAGATCTAAAGCTTTGTCTTTTAGTTTGATTGTCAGTAATCCTGTACAGCATATGCGTGTCATGCCTACCTATGTTGTAGGGAATGAATACACTGTACATACATGTATCTTTATACCTGTATTTACCATTGTGGCTCTGTCGTCATCTCTGTTTTCTGCAGTGAGTGTGTCTTCACACCTGGAGCCTGGATTAATAATCGGTCCTTGTTTCCTTGCCAAGAGCCGCCGGGAGCCTTGGCCACATGGCAAGCTAAGATCAGAACACCCAAAGAGTTTGTTGTCCTGATGAGTGGCGATGACGAAGCAATCACATCACCAGAACAAAATGGTGACCCTTCAACTCAACTGTTTGAATGTTTTGTATATAAACGCTGTGATTGTTGTCTGCCAGATTTGTAACAGTGTAATTGATGCTTCTGCAGGAATTATGCCATTATTATTCTTGACAACTCTGAATGTATATGTGTGGGTTTCTCAACATCTGACATTTCAAACTATCCACTGTCAAAGGAGGAGATAATTTGACATAATGCTGGATACCATGGTTGGTGGGGTGTCAGTACGGAGAGCCGAAGTGATTACGTCACCTTTTTTTCAGTTCCCATGTTAATGCCTCCACACAAACTTCACTCAACCATTTCTCTGCGCTTTTTGCAGTGGGCAATATCAGTCAATGAGTGCCTAGAGCTCTTACCGTGGCAACTAATGTCACACTTTAGAACTCCATGGTGTTTTGGATGTTGTAGATTGGAACCTTGCTTTAATCTGTTTTTTACATACATAGTCCTTGATTGGAAAGTCAACCTTGTCAGCATATTTGTAAATCACGATTAGTTGCATACTTGAATCTAGTTGTTTCTGTCTTTGACCCCCATCCGTATTGCTGATTAGGTCTGGTGTCACACCGATATCAAAGCACCTCAATGCCTATGCCCTGTTCTGTCTTAGCACTAGCGATTGGTCAGTGGAAATCAGTGAACATTCCCCAAGTGCAAGGTCAACCTCCAGCCAACACAGGAGATAGGTAGGATATGGCCAAATTTGTTGACAGCAGCAAGTAAGGGTCATGCATTCTTGCTTGTCATTTTCAATAATGTACAAAATGTAAGTTATGTATGCTTTTCCTAAATAAAACCGACGTTTGCCTAGTATCAATTGGGGGGGGGCCAGGAGAAATGAGTTGTTTTTAAATGCTCATGAAAATGATGATTAAAATGTACATGTATGACCCCTTAAATAGAGGGTTTGCATGGTTGCCATCTTGCAGGCCAGTGCCTTTGTTTCTCAGGATAGGCACAAAGGAGGTTTCCCTGTGGAACATAAGAGGACAATTTTCAACAACGTTGCCTGATCTCGTTAATGGTCTATGGTATTCTGGGTGCCATGTCAAAAGTGTTTTCGAAAAATGCAGTTCAAAAAATGGAAATAATTGTCTGAGTAATTCAAATCATTACTTTCACCTTCCTATTTTTATATTTTCTTTTTTGTACAAACAGCTCGCCATCCACACTTCCTTCCCGTCTGTTTGCTCCAGCCTCTATCCTTCATTTTGTTGAGGCAGAGTTTGCTCGCCTCCTCCCTAGATACCTTGCTACCAGTTATGAGGTCTTGGGTGCACATCCCTTCCGTAGATTGGATGTCTTAGTTCTGCCCAAGTGCTTCGCCAGTCTTGGCCTCGCCAGGTACATTTTTTAGATTATTCTCCCAGCGAAGTTTGCAATAAAATAAGATTTTTGCCAGTTGAATTTGAATAAAATATGGTACACTGAGTTCTTTAAATTCACGGAAATATAACACTTTGAATTCTCCATACTAAATCCACTGTTGCTATACCTCGTGATTGGGGGCAAGCTCTTGCTTAGTTATAAGAGACGCCTTGCACCAATACACTGTTTTCATAAGTAGGCACAAAGGAACCTGTCCATTCCAGAGATAGTGGTCGCAGTGCAAAACCTTGCCCTGAATCATGAGGTATAGCAACAGTGTCTTTAGTCTGGGGAATTCAAATTGTTATGTTTATGTGCAGTCAGATAACTTAGTGTACCGGATTTTATTCAAGTTTAACTCTTAAGGCTTATTGCAGGGCAGAGTAAACTCACAAAGAATGCCCTGGTTGAGGAGAAAGCAAATAAGATCATGTGACCTTGGGCTGTGTTGGAAGGAAGGAACGCGTACGCCTTGTGTGCTTGTTCAATCTTCATGCAGTTTCACAGATGTGTAAGGCATGGGTGCCAGGCCCATGATTATCAGTGGCATTTGTCACCTTAGTCTCTCATTTACTAGTCAGGGATGCTTGTACAAGAAGCAGATACCTTTTTAACATATTCAAAGCAAAATTCATTTCAAAAGTGGCTTAGATTTGGCGTAAGTCCTTGAAGTATCAGCCGCATTTTTCAGATTTGTAGTGTTATTTTCAGTCAGCTTTACAAAACAAGATCAGGATCTCCTTTAATCAGTTTGTGATGTCAACGTTTTCTTGTTTCTTAAGTAGCCATGTTTGCACTGGATTTTTTTTTCCCATGGGTTTTACCGAGCCGAGGGTCAAATAAAAAAATGGTCAAATGTGACCATTGTCCGCACTTGGACTTTCGACACAGGAAAATTTTACCGAGACCGCAGGAAAAATAACCCAACTGGCAGTGCAATGACTTCAGAGGGCGCTTTGCGTGACCTGTCTGCATTTGTTTTCATCCTTAGACACAATGTCACTGTCCTCATTCTCATCTGTAAATGGTGCACTCTTAACACCACTTAATTTTCCAATAGTGTCCATGACAATTTCTGCCATGATTGCGACCAAAAGAGGAAAAAATTTACAGGAAATATTCGCCACATGCCATACTGTGACAGAACGTGCAAGACGCATGCGTAGTTTCCCTGCGTGAAACATACCGTTGTGCTCGGGCCAGATGTATGCTCTACCAGCCATTTTCCCATACTTATACCGACTCACGCTGTCCGCACTGAACTTTTCGTCTCGGAGAAAGTGTGTTGGTAATTTTTCCTGGGCAGAAATTGGCCAGTAGAAATGACCGTGCAGCTCAGTAAAAGTAACCGAGAGGAAAACTTCCTGGGGTGTCTGCACTGGACTTAAAATGGGAAAAGTAACCATCACCTCACCAAGTTTGACCAAAAGTCCAGTATGAACATGGCTGTTGTGTATAAAGATTTGTTGTAGAGTCTGTACATTTATATCAAAACTTGCCAAGCAGTTCCTACATATATGTAACTTTCTTTCCTGTTATTTTGAGATGGTTCAAATTGGATGTTAGTGAGTTAACTTTTTACATAAGTTAATCTTGTGTTTGTTTTCTTGTTTGTGTTGTTTTGTTTCTGACATATGTAGAAATTAAACGGCTTAATCATTTGAGAAGATAATTTTTGTTTGCACTTGGTAAAAATGATTCCTGGAACTTTCTTTGTCTTGCTTTTATCATGACCAGCCCAAGCCTCATCTTTGTCTCACAAACCTTACTGCCTGGTGATCACAGCTTCTGTCCCCGCCTTGCCCATGAGATCACCCATGCCTGGTTTGGTCTCTTGATTGGAGCTGAGGATTGGACGGAGGAATGGCTGAGTGAAGGTTTTGCAACCTTCCTTGAGGATCCCATACATGGCTTAGCCGAGAAGGTGAGATTTAATATCATCCGTAAGCCTACAACTCCAATGCCCTATTACATCCATGGATGAAAGGATTCTGTAGGATTAGGACTGTATACATTCGTCATAGTTGCTTTGCATGGAAGCTGGTGCACTTTAAAAGGTCAAGTACAAAGATATTTGACTAGTATACAGTACTATGTCTAGGCTGGTAGTGTTGAAAGGCAACGTCTATTTAAGGGTGAAAGCGAATGTCATCTTCGCTAGCCTTGCTGTTCAGGAAGTAAATATTCCATTTTGTTACTTAATCATGCTGTAATGAGTTTCTTATGCTGATTCTTTTTTCCAGCTCTCAGAGAAACAATTCAAGGATTGGTCCAACTTGAAAGCTCTGATCCGCTTCAAGGTGCTACAGCAAGAAGTGAGGAATACATCAGCAGACTTGCAGATCATGCGACCTATGGCTGGTGATAGCACAATGAATCATGCTGGAACAGGGACGAACAAACCGGCTTATGTCAAGAATGGAATGAATCAAGATAAATGGTTCCAACAGGTTCATTACCTGAAGGTAAGATGATTTCTGTCTGGTTAACAAGACCAGTGCATTTAGACAGCTGCACCACACCATACCAGTCAACTATACTATCTAGCCACACAAGGAAGCCTCAACTAATAGCCAGAGTGCCAACTAGACCAGTCAGCAATGCCAGTCAACTACATCAGTCAACTACA